TGCGAAGTTACAGGCCGAGTATAATCAGATAGCTCTTACACCTAATATCTGATTTCTCGAAGAGTTGACTTGCAAACATTACTCTCCTTGAAAGATGCCGTAAAGAGTTAGGAGTAAAGAAACTACATCAACGGGATATTGGAAGACATACTTCTATAAATAAGATGTTTCTAAAACCTGGAAATCAAATTTGAATGAACTATTTTATTGCGTGCAAGGAAAACACACTTTTGGAAGCAGGCATCGTGAGACTCCGAAGTGGAATCGTTTTATTTCCGTTTTTATCCGTTTTTGTAAAACCGGTTTCATCTAGATAAAAAATCCTTTCAAAGGTTATAATTTCACAGATTTATGGTCTTGAGGCGACAATTTATTCACCTTTAGTGAATACGACAAATTCAGAACAATTTTGCAATTATTCTTCCTTTACCATACGATCCAAAATCAATCTAAGGCAATTCGAATAGCGTTTTTTTTTTCATTCATCACACATTGGCATGGTCCATTTAGTTGATTTTACGAAAGATTTTGCAATGTGTTTCATATTACCAATAGTATTAAGTAATTGGAGTCACCGTTGCATGAGAGGGGAAAAGCGAAATGAATCCCTCTGACCCTCGTGTTAAAAAAAAATGCATTAAAAAAAAATGTTTTTTAGTGAACACATTGAAAGAGCAGCTTGTGTGACAAGCTTAGGAAACTAGCCACCTTTGTATTATTTCCTTGCTAGTGATATTGCTCACATCACATAATTTGCCATGATATATGAAATAATCTATGAGAATCAAACCCTTTAAATAAAGAAACGAAATAAAAGGAAAGGTTAGAGAAAGTTTCCGCTGCACGACTAAAGCCAGACTCTTATTTTGACCCCTATGCCTCCTTCCCTTTCTTGTTGAACCGTCAAATAATTAAGTTCGTCTAATTGCATGAAATCTTAATTACCGGTTGCATCATTATGTAACAGGATAAATCGTCCATTTACACATTACCTCCAGGAACCTGGCGGCCCCTGTATTAAACCTATGAGACTAAGGGAACTCGGTAGTAAACGGGTTAATGGAATGGTCATTGCTCATGTCTCACAGTGTTTGTATAGTAACAAACCCCTTCTTTCGGCTTAACCTCATAAAAGGAGAGGGTCACTTAAATGACGAATATCAACAGAGGCACCACTAATCGTCCACGGATATTCGATTGTTGGTGAGTTAGATGAGAATCTAACCTTTAATAGCAAACCACTCTTAAAAGAAAGCAGACTGGTGAACATTGTCAATGTTTGAATGAAGTATATCGACGTCAAAATCACTTATGGAAATGGAATTTCAAATTGGTTGAATAAAAATTAGGTTAAGTCACTGTGATGTAGTGTAAGACAAATTTCCAGTTGTTCCCAACCACAATTAATGTCAATATTTCAAAAGTGTATGAGTCGTGAGGAACTTTTCTTTCGAGAGATCCTATAATAACATGCTACCTATAATATATTTTGAGCAGTGCCCCTTGGTAGAAGACATGCAGTTAAGAGAAATTGCCAACAATTGTTTCACAGTTAATCATGCTTTCAATAATGATGATAATAATAATGATAATATCATTATCATCAATAATTGAAATTATAATAACATTATCACAATATTACAACAACAATGATAACAGTTATGATAAACAGCATTATTAGTAGTATTACTATTATACTTATTGTTATAATCATCACCATCAATATTGGTATCAATCTAACTCTTAAAGCTGTATCCTATTTACAACTTTAGAGCCGGATCGATACCATGGACCTGAGACACTCCAGGGGTGATGTCATATAACATCGGAACTAAAGGACCAACATGGGGTATAGTTGGGTCAAGATATGGTTTGACCCCCAACAAATTGCAACAAAAGGTTTTTTCAACGGTTTCTAATAGTATTCGACCTGAAGAATAACATACTAAAAGCATACCCAAATCGAAGGTTCTGAAAGCTGTTATTCTCGAGATGGCATCCAAGATGGCCGCCGATACCTCAAAATGACCATTGATCACTTATGTTCTATCATAGAGACATTATTTGGGTGTCTATCCTTTAGTTTTGGGGGTCAGAGAATCCATTGAGACAAGCATAGAATGGTTTGTGATGGTCCAGGAAATCCCAAGATGGCGTCAAAAATATTACACTCAACTTATCCGAACCCCTGCTTGATCTTGTGTATCGCCCTGGTATATACTTACATGTAGATTGAGAGTAGGGAGGGGGGTAGGTGGTTAAGTGAGTGAGTGAATGAATGAGCTAGAGAGAGAGAGACAGAGAGAGACAGAGGGAGAGATGGAGAAGACAGTGAAGGAGAGGAAAAGGGGAATGGTATTACTGTTTGTGCGAATGTGAGAAGAGGGGAGAGCGAGAGAGAGATAGAGAGAGAGAGGGGGGGGGAGGAAAAGGGGGAGGGAGGGGAGGGGATTACTGTTTATCAAGTGTGATTGAAATGTAAGAAGTTATAATCAATTTAACACATATTTTGTTTTGTTTTAAAGATTCATTATGACTTTTACAAATGGTGCTGGTCATGGTGGTCATCTTGCGTCTTCCGTTCACACGCATTCTTAGTTAATTTCAAAGACAATTATTCATAACTCTTATTAAGCAGGCTTAAAAGCCTGTTTAACTGTAATCAATTAATAAATTGATTGGCAAATTATACAGAGCTTTTTGATGTGATTATCTAAACCTATCATTTCAAGCACTGGTAAAAGAGGGGGAGGGGCTGCAATCCTTATAATTTTTTTGCTGTGCAGCCGATGGGGCATGACGTATTTTAACGCTCCAAGATGTATCGAAAGGGCAGCATGGGAAAAGTGGGACAAGTACTTCTGGACAGAGTCAGCTACATATACATACGAATATTTAATGTCTTAGAAGCTTACTAAGGCCTCGGTCACCCCGCCAAACCGATTGCTTACCATTTGTTGTAGGCCTAATGCGCATTGTGATTCGGTTTGTTACCAGTTTTATCGCTCTATGGATGGCTAGAAATTAAACAGTTTTGTCATCAGAAGTGGAGAGAAAGGGATAGCCGAGAGAGAGAGAGAGAGAGAGAGAGAGAGAGAGAGAGAGATAGAGAAATGAAGTCAGAATATATTCGACTCTATCCGAGAGATGAATATTAACAATGCATAGGCGAGCTCCAATAGTGATCATCCATTTAATACATGTATATTTCCCACATCCACCCCATCCCTTCATGTTCCCTCTTTCTCTCTCTCTCTCTCTATGTCCGTCTGTGTGTTTGTGTCTGTGTGTGTGTGTGTGTGTCTCCCTCTATCTTTCTCTCTGTGTGTCTGTCTATCTGTGTCTCTCTGTGTCTCTCTCTCTTTTTTTCTCTCTCTCTCCCTCTCTTTCTCTATCCCTCTATATTTCTCTCTCTGTGCGTCTGTCTGTCTCTGTATGTGTGTGTATCTTTCTCTTTTTCTCTCTCTCTCTCTCTCTCCCTCTCTCTCTCTCTCTCTCTCTCTATCTATCTCTGTTTATGTCTTCCCTATCTCTTTCTCTTATTTAACCCATTTTTTGTTTTGTGTTCTTACTTCTCTCTTAGTCGTCCTGTTTTTAGTCCACATTCTCGTTATCTAAGTTCACCTCATCCCCCTCTCTCATTCTCTCTCTCTCTCTCCTTTTCTCTCTCTCTCTTTCTCTCACCCTCTCTCTCTCTTTATCTATATACCTCTCTCTCTCTCTCTCTCTCTCTCTCTCTGTCTTTCCCCATCTCTCTCTGAGTCTCCTTCGCTCTCTATCTTGCTCTATCTCCACATCCCTTCTCTTGAGACTTCTATCAAATCAGGTCTGCCAATCATTCAAAAGACAGCTGGCATAGAACTCAAGAGTGAGGATAGATAGACCAAAAAAAAATGAGAGGTCAATGAGAGAAAGATAGCAAAAAGAATGTTTGTAGGAAGTATGTTAATAAAAGGAGAAAATTGAGGTATGAGACAAGCGTGGAGAGATACGTAATGAAAGATTGATCGAGGTTGGTCGAGAAAAAAACTGAATGGGTATAAGGAGATATGGAGATGAGAACTAAATCCAATGATTCACATCGCGTGAAAAATAAATAATCAATATACACAAATATGTAAGACCCCTAAATGAAAATAGGTATGGATTGAAACAGGAAAATGAGGGGGGACTTCCGTTTTTTGAGATATTTTAATTTCTATATCCATCTGTTTTGATGGGTGAGCGTGTTTGTGTGTACACTCAACATGCCTAACGTGTCTCGTCCAACTAGGGAAGGAAAATATTTTGTTTCAATAACTGTAACGATTAGTGGCGTAAACATTTACCCTAGTTGTCCGCAAACATTAAAGACCGTCAATACTACTGGGCCAGAAGGGATTAGACCACACAGCGAGGTCACTGACATGTGGCTATTTCATTAACTCAGCTCTCAACTAACATAAGAAAAAGAGGATCATGGGGATCAACAGGCACCGATTGGGGAAGTTTTCTATATAGAGGGAGCAAGTAGCTACAAGACCTTTAATGCCTCCTATTTAGCAAATTTGAATTAAACCGCGTAATGATAAGAGTAAAGATGGAGGCTGAGCCGTTAGGAAACATGAAACGCATCAAAAGGCGTGAGAAATGATTAACGGAGGATGAAAAGAATGATTATCCTCGGAAAATTATTAAATCATTAGGTTCAAGAGAGTATATGCCTGTTACGACAGGACGTCACCTGTTCTATATAACAAGATTGAATGGAAGGAAAATGTCCAGAAATAGGAAACTACTAGTACTATCAAACCCCATGAATCATCCAGCGATTTGAAATTGCATTTTTTCGGGGTGGTTTTTTGAGATTATGGAAAATACTTCAAATTTGTGACGCCAATCCTCCATCAAACCACAGAAAATCAATTATGCGTGAAAGTTGGAAGGCATTTACACCGACTTCAGAAACGTATATAATCCTGTTGGGTAAGAAGATTCTCAAACATTGGATTTGTGAATATCGCAGAGCTTAACACTGTCTTTGTTCGACTGATTATCCTGGTGAGAACTATTTTAATTGTATATCTCTTTTCTCATTCTCTTTTTTATTTAAAGTAAAACAACTCTTAAAGGGCAAAATAATTCATGAGGTTTTTGTGTTGTTGTTATTTTTATTAAAAATAATGTCATTGGAACTTTTTCACATCAAAAGTCACTATTTTCTTACTTCGTTTCTGATGTGTTTTTTTTTAAATATATTTGTTTGCGTATTTTCCAGAACTCCGAGCTGAACTCAATACTTGGTTCTTTAATAATAATAATAATAATATTTAATGTTTATATAGCGCTTAATACAAATGTCTTTAGGCGCTTTACAAATATATGTATATTTATTTATGTAAACTTTTATCGCAACAATTAATAATTCAGTTTTTTACTTATGCATTTTACTATTATAACAGAACGCTTCCATCATTGAAAATGGCGTCTAAAGTTTTCTTGACAATCACCGTGTTCGTTTTCGTTGTCGCTCTGGCCGCGGCGATGGCGTTCGAAGATGATCCGTCTGACGAGGAGTTCGACATGGTGCTTGATCTTCTTGAGAAGAGGAGTAATGAGCTCGCTTTAGATGACGACATCTCGAACGAAACTTACGACATGGAAAAGAGGGGTCAGGGCAGAGGACGTTTCTTCCGTGAGTACTCTTTCTCTCTCTCACTTCCTCTCTCTCTCTCTCTCTTTCTCTCTCTCTCTCTCTCTCTCTTTCTCGCTCAGTTCCTCTCTCTCTTTCTCTCTCTCTCTCTCTCTATTCTATCTCTTTATCTCTTTTGCTCTCTCCCTCTCTCACGCTCTCTCCTTCTCTCTCTCTCTCTTTCTATCTATTACTCTCTATCTCTCTCTCTCTCTCTTCTCCTCTTTCACTTTTCTTTTTCTCTCTCTTTCTCTTTCTCTCTCTCTCTCTCTCTCTCTCTAACTAACTCTCACACTTCCTGTCTCTCTCTCTCTGTTTCTTGTCCACTCCATTTCTCTCCCTCCCTCTTGCTCTCTCTCTCTCTCTCTCTATTCTATCTTTCTATCTCCTTTTCTCCCTCTCCCTCTATCCCGCTCTCTCTCCTTCTCCCTCTCTTTCTGTCAATCTCTTTATCTCTCTCTCTCTCTATCTATCTATCTCTCTCTCTCTTCTCCTCTTTCACTTTCCTTTTCCCTCTCTCTTGTCTCTTTATTTTCCTTATACCTGTTTCACAGTCTCAAGCACCGTCTTTCACCCCAACCGCCTTCTTAATTATTTACCTCATTATTCCATTCTGTCTAATGGCTAATAAACAAGAGTCAGATGTGTGTATGTGTGTGTGGGGGGGGGGGGCTTCATTGATTTACTTATTTCGCTTGGTTGTACATAGTTCAATATTGCCCCTTTTACATGGCGTCAATATTTAATACCTATTTTGGTTCGACGTCGGAACCATTCAAATAATATGGAGCCGTCTATGAAGGAAATACAAATGTATACAAATCTGTCTTTTATATTAATATGATATCGATAGAGCCATTAATGCGGCATTCCCCTATACGTTTAGCATAAACTAGTCTTTAATGAAAGCAGAATAATAAGAGAAGCAAACTTTTGAAAGTGTGGAAGAAATTGGTCTAAACGTGAGAAGGTTTTATTGATATAATAATTGTAATGACTATACGGAAGGGACTTCGGCAGAATGTAGTACAGGACAGCTTTCTCATTTGCTCAAACACAAATGTTTCTAAAAGTCAACTTTCCAAAACATATGATTTGTTTATTTTGTTTATTTTTAGATGAACTGTAATGATATACATGTACTATCATTTGAGTAGTGCCCCGAGGAAGAAAGCGCTTAGAAAAAAAAACATGAATTCATATAATACATTGCTATACCGCAAAGGCGAGGGTTGTCTGGTGACTACGTCACAATGATTCAAATCCACTGACCAAATTGCCAATTTGAGATTTGCATATTACCAGCAATCATAATTTTCCTATTATTGTTTCAATTTATTTCAAAATTTGACCATTCTGTCTATCCTATTTTTGTCTCATACAAATTAACAGATTACGAAGGTTAGATTGACCTTTCGATTGTTTTTTCCTCAATACAATATTAATATAGCAGCAAATAATTTGATGCAATAATTTTATTATTTGGTTTACATTCACTTTTACGGCTGCATTCTTGCTTATGACAGTTGGACTCTCCATTTATCTTGACTATTTTTTTTACTTACCTCCATACTTTCAAGCTTTCAATTATGCATTTGTATTTGTGTGTATTTAAGTTGTCACTCTTTATGTAAATCAATTATATTATATATATAATATTATTGTTATTAGAATGTTTTATATGTGATTTATCAATAAATGCAGAAACATCTGCTTAAAAAAATATAAAAAATAACGATGTAACCCTCAGCTAACGCGTCAAGAGTACGCAAAGCGCTGACGCACTAATAGTATTAGTACGCCAGTGACTGACGTTGCATGCGTAACGTGCATATCACATTTAAAGGTGTATTCTATGTTTTTTCTTTATTATCTTGGTTATGACGAAGTCTGTACTCATTAAATTTAACTATCAATTTACCTCTTTATCTTATACATTTAGGTTGCACACATCGGGTATCCGGCCATACCTGCATCTGCGATAAGAGGTACAGGAAGCAACATCAGAAATACTACAGGGTCTGTTCCGGGTACTAGGACAAACCATAACCGTAACCGATGCTTGCGAAATGATCTGAGCATGCGCAGATGCTTGGACCTGTATTAATACTTGCTGCAAACAGAGCCTGGTTGCCCTGTAAAATGATGAATTTCTTACAACAACATTTGTTTTAATTAAATTCAACCTAATTGAAAAAAAATCGTCTATTGGTGTAACATGTATTTTGGTCACTGAAAGAAATTAAAGAATAAAATGTGTCAACTCATTTGATAGTTTACGTGTATCTCTTTAGTTTTGACTACATTTGAGTGTTTCTGTGTTTCTTTTGGAACATGTACAAATGCACATGTACGATTCTTGTTTGATGGTCAATACTGTTCTACTTTGATATACAGGTTATTTATATTTTACTTTTCTATAGCAACCTACTGTCCCTGCATTGCTCCGTTATTGAGGTATAAATATGTGTTGTAGAACCTGACCCTGTCCAGAAATCTATATCTGCCACTTTCTCTCTTTCCCTTAGGTGGCCACAGTAGACAGGTTTAACTGTATCAGCGCTCAAAATACACGGGGGCGGTGGGCGATTCGCCCCCGTGAGCTACATAATCGCCCCCGTCAGGTTGCTCACGGGGGCGATTGCAAAATTAAAAATCGCCCCCGTGGAATTATAAAATAAAGATTATCTTTTCTGTTATAACTTTAACACAATATTGAGTTTCAATTTTTAAACCTTAAACCAATGAAATGGAACTTAGATTAGCGTGCAAGATTTCTCGTTTTATGAGTAGGCCTAGTTATTACCGATTCAGCTCGCAGTGCAAACACTGCAAACAAAAAAGAAAACAAGGTTATTTAATAAAAGGATCATGTGACAAATAATCATTGTGATTCAAATTGATGCAAGGATTTTTTTTTTTTAATAAGCAATGCTTTTCACCAGAATCTTCTTTGTAAAAACGACTTTTACAAATCTCAGCCATGCAAATCTGCCACTGTGTTGTAAGATCACTTTCAGATTAGGAGAAGTGTATTCTTTAAAGAGTATTTTACATTGAATGGAACGTCTCAACTCAGTAAGCATGGCTGAGATTTGTAAAAGTTGTTTTTACAAAGAAGATTCGGGTGAATAGCAGTGCTTATTCAAACAAATATTCGCATCAATTTGAATCACAATCATTATTTGTCGCTTAATCCCTTTTAATGACCTTGTTTTCTTTCTCGTTTGCAAGGGGAGAAGAAGATATGTCACGTTAAAGACATCATAAAGATCAGTGTTGTATGCGTATACACAGGCCAGTAACAGCTATGTAGCTTGTAAATTTGTAAGACGGAAAATGCTGATTGAAATGATAATGATGAAATAGCAAATAATTGAGGAGTATCATAGGTACCAATTCAATGGATTTTTGTATACAAAAAGAGCCCCCGTCAGTACTAAAAGAGCCCCCGTGAGAAGGCTCACGGGGGCTCTTTTGGGTGGGGGAAGAGCCCCCGTGGACAAAAAATTAATTTGAGCCCTAAACTGTATATATATATATATATATATATATATATATATATATATATAGCACAACCTAGTTAAATATGTCACCGTCCAGTCCTTTTTTGTTGTTGATAATATTTACATATTTGCTAGAAACATTTATCTTACCTAATGCATGTTGTTTCACGGCTGATGACTGGAAGAAAAAGAGGTTCGCGGGAGAGAAAAAAGAATCGGGAAAATTTTATTTAAATATAAGTATTATAATAGGATGATTTAAAGCCCCTGTAAAGTTTTGGGTGCCCTAAATTCGCCAACAATTTGATGGCAAGATTCAACTTAAGTTGTATCATAATGTGCAAGAGGATGTCATTTAAGACATACTTCTGCAAAGGTTTTCCACCCAAAAATGTGTTTGAAGACAAATATTAAGACAAAAATACATAATTTGGGTTTTGCTGTTGTACGCAGAAAACTTAAATGTTGTATTCTTTCATCAATAAAAGAGAGAGAGAGAGAGAGAGAGAGAGGCTGAAATAAAGGAGAGAGAGGGGGATAAGTAGATAGGGCAAGTTAGCTACAGAGAGGGAGAGAGAGAGAGAGAGAGAGAGAGATCCATGAAAATAATTTACACAGAATTGCATGGATACTATCCCAATCATCATTATGAACATGAAGATTGTTTTTTCTTTTTCTTTTGTCCTTTTATGTTTTCTTTATTTTCACCTATCCATGAACGTCATTAATATTCAATGCTCTAATCACATCTTCACGACTAATATTGTTCACTAATTAAAGATTTGATGAGTTTTAAAATTATATGAAAACGACGAAAGAACAATTGCTTCATCACACCGTGAACAACGCGATTATTAGTGCGTGTGACATTTATATCATTTTATTTAAGAATCTAGAATGTTTTTGCTTAATATGGTCCAATGTCCACGCTTTTGCAAAATGAACACGAATTACAAAAATCTCCGTGTCATTAGATTTGACTTTCTACAATTCATATTTGAAATTTAGGCAATAATCGTCTCAGATGGCCGGAGCAAATAATAGATCCATATTGCCTTGTGCAATAGTACTTGTATTGCACCGCCTTCATCAATGTTGAATGCCCTAATTACATTCTTAATGCAGTATCGCATGTCATGAATAAGGTATTACGTTTTCCGAGTAATCTAGCCCAAATCATTGCTAATGACCAATTAAACATCCAATAATTACATATTTTAGGCACGATTCCGAATGTTAATGACTTCATAAGATGTGACTGATTAAATGTAAAAGACATTGTTCCCTCTTTTATCTTCTTTATTTTTCTTTGGGTATAACTTCCGGTGATGTTCAGACAAGAAGCGAAAATAGATCACTGTTCCTTTATTGCACATATTGTGAGTGTTCTGATTTCATTCATAAAGTACGTCATCTTATTTATGCTTTTGGCTCGCCATGGTCAATTATAATGTAAGCAGCCAAGCATGTAATGCCTTGGATATTAAATTTCGTGACAAGGAAAGCGTGACGAGATTGCCAATGGGGAATACCTTCGCGTATGGAAGGGGAGTGAGAGACAGAAAGAACAGGAGAGAGGAACAGGAAGATATTAGATACACGTTATTTAGATTTCGGAAAGACATATGGCGGGAAACAAGAGAGAAAGACAGAGGGGAGAACAAGAAAGAGGAAGAGAGGGAAATTAAGAGGAAGAGAAATTATTTATAAAAAAAAACGTCTGGATAAAACTATATGAATGGATAGGAAGAGACAGAATGTATTGATATAAAAGTAAGATAAATGAATATAGACAGGAATACAACAAATATTACGGTTTGTACCAGAGAGAAAATGAAAGAAGATAAAGGGGAAGAAATAAAAGGCGAAGTTAACGAGAGGAAGCAGAAACTGACGGTCTGAACATGTGAGCATTACTTTTTTCGCGAAAGAGGGAGATGCAGATAGGCAGACAGAGACAGACGTTCGAAGGGTAAAGTCAGATCATCATTCTACGGAAAACGAAAAATAGACATATAGAAAGAAAAAGCGAAAACGAAAGAGGAAGAGAGAACAATTATTATGCAGAGGTTCAGAAATGGATGAGTAGATAGAAAAATATACGGCAAGATAGGGAGACAATACAAAAAGACAGCAAAATAATACATGAACAATACGAGGACGAGCAGAATGAGAGAGAGAGACACAGAGACACAGAGAGAGAGACACAGAGAGACAGAGAGAGACATACAGGCACAGATATAGTGAGAGAAAGACCGAGAGAGAGAGAAAGAGAGCGTATGTAAAGTGTCTAGAGAGAAAGAGAGAGATGGAGAAAGGAGCAGGGCAGAGTATAGACGGTAAAATATAACATTTTGTGAAGTAATCGGTTTTGATGTTCATATTAATTGTTTTTAACGCGCTAGATTGGCTCTGACGTTGCAATGGACGGCATGTCGTCAACAAGGACAAGTTTAGAAATGGACCCAGAATAGCGCCTTGTCACACATCATTACTTACACTTGGATAGGCCTTTGTTTGACACAGGATCCCATGATACTTAAAATACTCGGCGATGACGGATGATGATGACTATATAAAATGCGTTGGAGATGGGATGGTATTATCAGTTGAAACGACCTAGCTTGGCGGCGCACCTACCCAGAAAAGGATTCTTAAATAATTTTCAAGACACAGGAACTTTAACTCGTAACTAAGGTAAATGAAATTCGAGTTATGTTATTTTGCATGAATACTTTGACATGTTATGTATGAATGATTAAGGAAGTACCAGTGTGCCTAAAGCCAGAAGGGCGTTAACTCATTGACTGTCTGCAAGAAAGTCGTTACTGCCATTTACAATACATAGATCTTTCGGTCTTTTTGAGGGCAGCCGACGAACTATTTGTGCAGAGCTGTGACGTAATGTTCGTCTTGCTTTCACACATTGCAACGATGTTTTCAACCTGAACGTACACTATTTATTTATATTGAAATCAATGTGAAGGCACTCGTCAACATCTCAGAGCGTTACTTTTAGAAGGTTCATGCATATCAGAAGGCTAGTGACACCAAAAAGCATGAGGTTGGGAGTTGCAATCCACTAAAAATGCCATTACCAATACTCGTGCAACTAGTCCCTCGAATTCGGGCAGCCAGGTAGTCATATATAGCGTAGTTTGATTTACACGGTCGTAACTGCTTTCAAAATAAAAACATCTCGAGGGCTATTCCAATACCGTATTGTATGTGCCATACAAATGCGGTTTAAATTAACTTGTAGATTAAGTTTTTTCTGACCTTGAGCTTTAGAAGGTAAGCTTTCGTCCACTCCTGTAGTCTCTCGCAAGCCAAGTAATTATTCACACAGTTGCGTGCTGTCTGTAATTAACTTGTATCCACGTTATGATTACCACTACAAATTATTCTTTGTCATGTTTTGTTTCATGTTTAAATTACATATCATCGTTATCCATCCACATTTTAAAAGGTGACGTACGAGGCCATTGAAATTGCCTTTTAATATTTTTATTTTTCGGAAGTAGTTGGGATTGTATTGGCCCGAGAAATTATATTATTACTTAAAAAGTGTCAAAAATGTTTCACTCTTACGAAAACACCAAAAGCAGGAAAGGTGATATTCGGAAGAGAGATGTTAGACCCTTGGCAAAATTTTGCTTGAACTGCCATGCTACAATCATGCACGTCATAAATGATGTGTTATACTTTTGCCGTTGCAAAACGTCTTTTTGCTTGCGTTAATAATTTGCGCTAGTCAAGCTTGGGAAGGCAACTCCATAAAATATGGATGTTATACATCCATAGTCTAACATAGCGATATTTGTACTCTTTATTTGAGCTTCATATTTTATCATTTTATGCGCCAAGGGCGACACCCACTGCTGACGGGGTTCTGCGTCATGCAATGAGTATCCGTGTGCAAAGGGCAATGTAAATTACGCGTAGGATACAAAGAGTTATTTCGATTACATTATTTGCTGCGCTAATCACGCATATGGATGCTCATTCATCTGTGATTCATATTCATGTATGGTGTTAATTTCAAGGAGCGTGCCAAAGTGATTGTCCGTATCTGACTCGTCACTCCGTCAGGTAAATAACGCCCGGTGAATAACGCTTGGTGTAGTACGCCCATTTGAGATGAACTTTCTTTCTATTATCGTCAGTTGTACAATCATCGAACTGTTATTAAATGTTTGATTTTCTTATGTCTTGTTGCTAATATAGGAGAAATTCAATTCGGCAAAAATGTCACTCCGTGTCTTCATTCTGGCTCTCTCTCTTACCCTGGTAATTCTTGGCGCATCACTGACGTCAGGGAGCGCCGATTCCGACTGGGATAACTGGTACAACAGAGGAATGGGTGTAAGGATAATTGATGAACTCGGAAAGCGAGGCAATGGACTCGGCAGCGGGCGATATGTTCGTAAGTGCGGGTGGCAAATGGGGGAGGGAGTATGTAGGCGGGGTTTGGTGTGTGGTGTGTGACAGCGCTGTGTCTTGAAGAACTGGTGGAAAGGAGAGATGGGTAATTACGTCGAGAACTTGACATGGAGGCAATGAACCAGGCAGTCGGTGAAAGATATGTTCATGAGTGTGTGCGCGTGTGATTAGAGTGGGTGGAAAAATATGGGTGTGCCGTGGTGAGCGTGGTAAGTAGGTATGGGTGACTAGGATGACGGGAACATTAGAGGAATGTGTATAATACCATTCGTGTCTGTGATGAATTATGAATTCAGTAGACGAAACGTTCATAAGTGCGTGTGCGTGTGATGAAAGTGTATATTATGTGGGCGGAATAAGTGGATGTGGTTTTTTGATTTTTGGAGGACGGATGTTTTCATGGGGATGCCTTACAAAACATCTAGTGAAATATATGAGCACGATTGTGGTGATTTAAGAATCATCACTGAAATGTTTTTGAAAAATTATTGTGTCAAACGCTTTATAGAGAGTTTGATCTTCAGCGCAAATTATGATTATTCATGTTGATATTATTGCATCACCCAAATGATAATACTACTAATAATAATGATAATGACGATATACAATTAATTTTGTTAATAAAATGGGGGGTCTTGTCGTATCACAAAGTTATGGTTCATTTATGCAACAAATGATGTTACGAATTCAAAAAAAAATTATTATACGCTTATACTGTTTATTTCCATTTCATTAAGCAGAATTACAAAATATACTTTGAGATTTCAAGGATTAAATCTTTTAAACCAGGAACCCTTATTACACGAAACATGCATTTTCAGTTATAATTAAAATTGTTTAAAGTAATCATATATAACTATAATCTAGCTATTGATGAATTTGATTTCGTTGTATCTAGACACTGTGAAATAATTCTAAATTATAGGTGATTCTATTTTGTCCAGCTGAAATATTAATGTATTACTCGAACATTAAGCTCTATCTTTCAGACCTCTATGTTACTAGACATTCCACGTTTGATTGCCAATACGCTCATTATCATTTTCTTTTCTTGCGTTTTCTTACATTTTTTTTTTTTAATCTAAGGATGCATCAAAAAGGGAACAGATCAGCGATGTTTCTGTGACGTGCTGCGGAACAAGAAGGATCCCGGGTACTACCTCGCATGCTCCAAATTCTCACTTGAACCTCCGATTGAGGAGGAGTGAACAACGACCCTTCATGATGAATAATGTTGTTTTTGTTAAGCCTACACATGACTTCTTCCCCTCAAATAAAACTGAAATATGTACCCCACGTGACGTTCGTTGAAAGACCTTTCTCCACTGAAGTCGAATTTTTGCAACATAACGCACTGCCTAGGAAACGGAATACACCCTTTCACGGTTACAATAGTGTGCATGCACTAAGATTTGCGCCGTCTTATTTAAAATGACGCCCATGTCAATATGATGTGAGCGCAAAGCGCAGGCAGTGACACAACAATACATGCTCATCTGTAAACTTTGATGACGCAATGTTTGCGCGCAAATTAAAATGGCGGCCTAAACCTGCTTTGTAATAGAACGCCCTCATATGTCCAGTTGTACTTGAAAGCTAGTAAACCAATATTAGAATGAAAACAAACTTGTTATTTAGAGCTCATTCGAGATGAAGAGTCAAAAGCTAGTTGATAAAAAAGCAATATAATTTGGTAATGAGAGGGAGGCGTCGATTTCCACTTATTCGAGGATCATATACATTTATTCTTTGATTTGAAATATTGTAAATATTACTTTTTGTAAGAACTTGAATGATTAATAATATTGCAGTTCATATTTTGTTCACCACATTTATTTGAAATTCCATGGTCTGCTTATTTCTTGATGTCGCTAGATTCAACGTCCTGGGCCAGATTAATACATGAGTGTGGGTCTCTCCTTTGGGTAATATTCCACTTGTAGAGGAAATGTACCGAAATAAACGTTTTCTTGAAATAAATAAAGCAATGAGAGCATTTTAATGTGAGATCATATGGACTAATTTATGGAAGACTGATGATACTCTCGTTAATTGTCTTGATGTCGTGGTTGTGGTTTTTGTTTTTGTATTATGTAAAGAATCGAGTGGTTAAATTCTCTTCGTCAGATACTATAATTTCACCATACTTCGTAGTCTCGATACATGTAATTCCTAATACGTTCCCTAATTAAAATTGTCTTTCATATCTTCGTTCGTGTTATTTATTCCCTATTCCTTTTACTTGTTACTCGTTATTTTTGTTATCTATTTACTTATTTGCATTTTCATTTGTATTACCTTTGTTAGTGGTTTAATCATTGCAGTCTGATTGTCGTTAAATTAACGTAAATTTAGTGACGATGAGTACCTAAGTTTGGAAATGTTAAAGAATGACGAGATTACGCGTTATGTAATAATATACAAGCGTTTTTCCCCAATATTATTATTATTATTTTATTATTTGTAAGGGATGTATTTTTAGTCATCGTTCAATTAATGCTAATCGACTTTAATAAGGCAATTTCATTTTTGTTTTGCTTTTGCTTTTGTTTGCATTTGTTTGTTTAATTAAGATGTTGCATTATGATGATCTTCATAAATTAATTAAGATTATTTTTGTATAATGTGATCAATAGAAAACGTACTGTTTGAATGATTTAATCTAATGTAATATAATTATATATGAAATTTTGGGGATTGGATGTATCATGTTTTCAAAACACATTATTCATTAATTCATGTGTTCACGTTTAGATTAAAGGTAACGTGTGTTAACCTATATCAGAATATTAGAATGTACGTTTTCAATCATTTTTTTTCTTCTTTTAAATACGTGGTTATCATCTATTCTTTATCTTTTCTTCATTTGTTAATGTATTTTCTATTTAAATTGAAAATTCCATTCACATATTTGTTTTAAATGATCAAGGATAATTCTTAAATCATCAGTTATTTCATGAGGATACCAATTAATTTATATTATACCTATTTTTATGCTTGTGTATTTATCTATTTTGTTTCTGCTGCTGTTAGTTGTTTTATTCTTACCAAATAGGGCCTCATAGAAGGCCACCAAATTGTTGATATGTGCCACCCTGTATAAAATCAGAAATTAATGAATAAACGAATTAGATGTGCTGTTATAAATATAAAATTCAAAGGATTATTAAGTAATATAGCCTTTGAATTCTGTACATCTGATTAGTTTTAATACTGCCACGAAACTGTAGTGTTTTTTAATGGAATGAACCGTATAAATTATTTTTTATAACTTTGATAAAAATGTAATGGATCTCCATGGATACTTACTTTCTTGTTTGTGTTTTCAACAAGTTTGTGAAATAAGTTGTATGTAACACCAATGTTTCATGTTTTATTAAATACAATTCCTAAGATCATGTGCGTGAGACATTATAGTCATTATGCATTCTGATTTACCATGTTTTGGTGGAGATGACGCTTATGGAGGTGACTTATAAACGCACACCCCCCCCCCCCCGCCGAAAAGTAAATAAACAAATATTTAATAGATTGAAGAAGAAGAAGAAGAAGAAGAAGAAGAAGAAGAAGGGGGTAAAGGATGGGGGAAGACGGGGGAAAAAGACGAAGAAGACGAAGGAAAAGAGGAAGAAGAAGGGAAAGAAGAAAAAGAAAAAGAAAACGAATTGATCAAGTAGACAAGTAGAAACAGGAAGAGGATTGTGAAGAATTAGAGAAGATGATGATGATGGTGATGATATATTGATGACTATAATAATGCTAATGATTGCGAAGACGATGCTGATGACGATGCTGCTACTGCTACTGCTGATGATGATGGTGATGGTAATGATGATGATGATGGTGATGATGATGATGGTGGCATAATAGGATATAAAAGGTACGTACGACGCAGAAAAGGAGAGAGAAAGGGGGGTATACAGGAATGAGATGGAAACGAAAGAGAAGGATTAATATCTAGAAGAAGGTATACCAATATAGAGAATAGAATGTGAGACAAAAATACAGATAATATTACAGAGATACAGCAGAGAGAAAATAAAACACGAACCCATAAAAGAGCGAGAAGAAAGAGACTGAGAAAAAAAGATAGAGATAAAATAAAACAAAAGTAAGCAGGCATGGAAAATCTTTGCCAACATCAAAATGGAATACAAACATTAATTATAGTGACTAAAGAAAGCCCAGCTTATTGAAGTGATTTTTTTTAAATGTTCAGATGAAACGCTTCTCATGATTATTATTGAAAATTTGGGGTTCAGAGGGTGGCGAAAGCACTTTTTAGTAAATATCAATTTCTTCAAATACATATGAATCCTTTGGGTTATTTAGCTATTAATTATTATTATTATTATTAATCTTTTTTAAGATACAGGGAAATCCCTTCAGAGCAGCAAGCCCTGCTTTTCAAGAGAGTCCTGCAGGCAAATAACAAAGTTCACGGTAAAATGACAACAACAGAAATTAAAAACATATGCGCAATACATAAAACCCAGTTATTTACTAGCAAATAATTAAAGTACGTTAACACAAAACACGTTTCAGTGTGGAAAGGAAAACTACGTACAGATTCAAGCTCGATTGAAATGAGCCAAATAAAGCAAAGACATACAATCATATTTATCGGTTAAACAGGACAAGTTCACTGTGTTCACATATATTAATATGCTTGCACTAATACAGCAAAATCTAACTCAAAATAAAACGCACTAATTATAAAAGGTAGAACATTTCAAGTTAAACTGAAGGGTTTAGAGAAAAGTGTGGCTGAAAAAGAGTACGGGAGATTAAATTGGACTGCACAATATAAAGACAGTATGAAAAGTATTAACACAAATAGAACTCAGTAATAGATTAAGAAATGTGTGGCTAAAGAGTAGTGGATGGCACAATAGAAAGATATTAAAAGCACAACATGGACAGTTTAACAAGACTAGAACAAAATGATACAATACAAAAAAGCAAAGGAAAAAACACAATATGTCAGCAAAAAGTACCGCTTCATTATTTCGTTCCTGCATAGTAAGTACACTTCGCCATAAACTTATTGAAAGACAAAGAAAATAGTTTGAGAAAATAGAGATCTCGTTGAGGGAAGGGAGGGGTGCGGGGGGTGGTTTCGGTAAGGAAACCGCATGATTTAGCCACACCCACCCTGCCCAATCTGCCACCAATACTAAAATTTTCAACTCATTTTTTTGTGTTAGTGATATGTGCTATACAAGTATAAGTTTATTGTTGATATTATTATTATTAATATTTATTTTCATTATTGTTATTATCAATATCATTATTTTCTTCACTAGGCCAAGATATTATAGTGTATTTGGTGGCCTTCTCTCTACTTAACACCCACATATAAATACAAGCTATGCTTTTCGGGTTTTCGCCTGCTTTTGTTACCTGAATTATTAACTGTACACTCTATGTTAAAATCATTGTTTCATATATAATTTATATAAACATTGTGTTTCATTTTGTACCGTTGAGAAGGAAATAAATGTTAATAAATACAAATACTAACAAAATCCATTGTAAAAAGAGGGTTTAAGCTATGGAAAAGGTTCGTTTCCATGTTCTGGTAAAAAATATCATATTTGCAATATGGTATTGTTAGAGGATTGGTCTTGAAAAGCTCACTTAATCCAAATATGACTGAGGGTGTATCTCTCTTATCCTCTCTATCGTTGATCAAATGTTGATGCCACATGTATGTGTGGTCCTATATACCTTCACCTGAGTGCAGTATTTGTTTTACTTCTTCCTCTTCTGCTCACGTTCCGTCGTTTTCTCCTTCTCCTCCTCGTCCTCTTCCTTTTCTTCTTCTTCTTATGATTTCTCCTTCGCCTTTTTATTCTTCTTTTTATTTACTGTAAGATGATTTCAGCTGCAGGATTGAGTCAATGTGGGTAACCCGACACATGCTCCGCCGACGATTGCTCCGCCGACATTTACTCCGCAAAACGCGACAATTGCTCCGCGACATTTGCTCCGCGACATTTGCTCCGACGTCAAAGGCTCCGCCGACAGTTGCTCCGCCGACAGTTGCTCCGCCGACAATTGCTCCGCCGACAGATGCTCCGCCGACAATTGCTCCGCCGACAATTGCTCCGCCGACAATTGCTCCGCCGTCAATTGCTCCGCAAAACGCGACAATTGCTCCGCCGACATTTGCTCCGCCTGAAGCGACACTTGCTCCGCCGACATTTGCTCCGCCGACGATTGCTCCGCCGACAATTGCTCCGCCTGAAGCGACAATTGCTCCGCCGACATTTGCTCCGCCTGAAGCGACAATTGCTCCGCCGACATTTGCTCCGCCGACAATTGCTCCGCCGACATTTGCTCCGCCTGAAGCGACACTTGCTCCGCCGACATTTGCTCCGCCGACGATTGCTCCGCCGACAATTGCTCCGCCTGAAGCGACAATTGCTCCGCCGACATTTGCTCCGCCTGAAGCGACAATTGCTCCGCCGACATTTGCTCCGCCGACAATTGCTCCGCCGACAATTGCTCCGCCTGAAGCGACAATTGCTTCGCCGACATTTGCTCCGACGACATTTGCTCCGCCCAAAAAGTGTCCCATAAACTACAAATGCTACTAGTACTACGACAAATGCTTCGCCGACAATATTTACACCTATTTTTTTCGTTTCTTTTTTTCTTCTTCATTTTCTGAATGCATTTCTTGAAATAATGTAGATGAAATGAAATGAATGAATGTTGATGAAGTGGGAGGAAAAAGGAGTTACCTTAAAGTCATTTCGAATATACTGAAATAACTTTCCATCTATCACTGTACGTCCCACATAATGTATACTAAACACTCATTACATGTCGTGGGAAGTTTTTTAAAAAAAAGTAGAGCAGCAAGCCACATTCCCCAATACGCGCATACCTCCTAGTTAATTTCAAGTAGCTCATCAATATGTAATACCTGAAATTACCTCGATCAATGCATCTTACTAGGTAAACCATTATACAATGTAATAGGTCATCATGGAAGTTTAGAAAATAAGTAAGGGGGATTTACCAAGTGTTGATCTTTTTAAGAGTTTTATAAAGAAACAAAAAGATATTGAATATTTCTCAGCAAAAAAAAGGAACAAGCTTGTTTCGCATTTTAAGAAATGGCGATTTGACTTATGATTCTCATGTTTATTTAACTTTTATTCCTGTGCCCCCTCACTCCCCTTTATGCACTGGAGTTCAAACTATGATTTATATGTGTACAGTGTATTTTTTTTTACTATAATGTTTTTTTTTTATAACTTTCTTGTCCTTTCATTATTGTTAGTTGTTCTTATACATATTGGTTTTTTGTTTGTCTAATTATTACCAATGACTTGTAAATATGTAATTTTTATATGATTGAAAATTTAATAAACACACAAATATAAAAAAAAAAGTTTAGAAAATAAGGGCACTTATATACGTAAGGAAGAGAACCCATTCAGACGGGAAAATGAGATGGCAGCCTTTCTGCTTATTCACATTTATACAAATCATTTTGTTGCAGTTTGATGTTAGTTCTTCATGATAAGCCAATTGCTCTTCTTCCGGTGGCTTCGTGAGTCCCTTAAATTATTTAGTGAAAACAAAGTACTCGAATGAAACGGAGTGTTTTGCACACTAACATATATATATTAAAGCTACATACACTTAACTAAAGGAAAGAAACCTTTAGAAAATGGACTGGATATTATTGAAAATATTATTCTAAACAAGAATGTACTACATGATTGTATTACTTTACGTTTCAATTTCACGAGAGAATTAGAACTCGAGAGGGGGAGCAGAGAAGAAGTGATGGAAATGAAAGAAGACTAATAGCATGAGAGGAAAGAAAAGAGCAAAGAAGACAATAAAACGGTGTAAACAGGAAAAGGAGGAGCATGGGAGAGAGAGAAAGAGAGAGAGAGAGAGATATAGCCTTGAGCTTTGGATCAGCTAATGAGTAATACATGAAACAGATTTTGAGCGGAGTAATTATCTTTCGCCGGAGAACTTGCGTAAGGAGCTATAATTTTATTTTTTATTTTTTTAAATCAAACATTATGGGGAATAGCAAAAAACGGTTGTCTTTTTTGCTCTTTTCTTTCCTCTCATGTTATTAGTCTTCTTTCATTGAGGTAATTTCAGGTCTTACATATTGATGAGCTGTTTGAAATTAACTAGGAGGTATGCGCGTATTGGGGAATGTGGCTTGCTGCTCTACTTAAAAAAAAAAACTTCCCATGACATGTAATGAGTGTTTAGTGTACATTATGTGGGACGTACAGTGATAGATGGAAAGTTATTTCAGTATATTCGAAATGACTTTTAGGCAACTGCTTTTTCCTCCCACATTATCATCATTCATTCATTTCATTTCATTTACATAATGTCATGAAATGCATTCAAAAAATGAAGAAAAAAAGAAAGAAACAAAAACAACCCGTGAAAAAAAAAATTGTCTGCGAAGCATTTGTCGTAGTACTAGTAGCATTTGTATTTAATGGGACACTTTTGGGCGGAACAAATGTCGTCGGAGCAAATGTCACCGGAGCAAGTGTCGCTTCATGCGGAGCAAATGTCGTCGGAGCAATTGTCGGCGGAGCAAATGTCGACGGAGCAATTGTCGTCGGAGCAATTGTCGGCGGAGCAAATGTCGTCGGAGCAATTGTCGGCGGAGCATATGTCACCGGAGCAATTGTCGCTTCAGGCGGAGCAAATGTCGGCGGAGCAATTGACGGCGGAGCAAATGTCGGCGGAGCAAATGTCGGCGGAGCAAATGTCGGCGGAGCAAGTGTCGCTTCAGGCGGAGCAAATGTCGGCGGAGAAAATGTCGGCGGAGCAATTGTCGCGTTTTGCGGAGCAATTGACGGCGGAGCAATTGTCGGCGGAGCAATTGTCGGAGGAGCAATTGTCGGCGGAGCATCTGTCGGCGGAGCAATTGTCGGCGGAGCAACTGTCGGCGGAGCAACTGTCGGCGGAGCACCTGTCGGCGGAGCATTTGACGTCGGAGCAAATGTCGCGGAGCAAATGTCGCGGAGCAATTGTCGCGTTTTGCGGAGTAAATGTCGGCGGAGCAATCGTCGGCGGAGCATGTGTCATGGAACCGTCAATGTGCTATCGTTAGGTGGATGGTTCCAAAACCTCGTAGTACAAATGACTTGTATTTATAATAAACTTTTCGGAATAACCTCTTAAAATAAATATTATATTCCTTCAAAAATCGATGGAAAAAATGTTGTGAGTGACTTGCTAGATGTGTCAAGGACAACAAAGTATTAACATTAAAAACATTTTTAATAACGTCATTTCTTGGGCTCTTTATTAGATAGCTTCACTCTTGACTGCATCCATTTTAGATTACTCTATGAAATATCGTTCCGCATCGATGAAATAGAACAAAACATTGCTGTCTTCCGCCTGCATCCATTATAAACTCAATGGGCATTTCTTTCTCCTCGGCTGACTCTGTCATTGGACCTGGCACCCGGAATGACCACTGCAAATATCAAAGCAATATCAGTTCATGCCTCCTTGCATTTCCAAGTACTACAACAGGAATCGCATGTCAAATCCTCCCCCTCTTTTTTCTTCCTCAAAATTCCCTGTTATTTTCAATGAGGTTTACTTTAATTGACCCCCAACCCCTTCCATTAGCACATGATCTTGTTACGTTCTGAGTAGTATCAAATATCTAATAACGGGTAGCCAAAGCCGTGAGCACAATCAAATTCATTACGATTTAATTACTGTCATGATGAGGGTTAAGTTCATTTCCGCATCATTACAATCAGCTATTCCAAAGCCTCCTCGCTCGTTGCTTTTTAATTCCAATGTGTCAAACGATTGCCACTTGAGGTCGGTTAACATTGATAGTCATTTCTAAATTTATTTTTGTTTTCCTGATATATAAGGTATAAATCCATTTTGCCGCTCATTCAATGTTGTTGCATTTTTCTTCTTTCTCTTGCTTAGCCTTTTTTTAATTCCTTTTTTGTCTTTCTGTTTTTTCGTTATCACTAACTTTATTAATATTTGTTTTCCAAATCCCGGTTCCATTTCAATGCTACTGAAGTCTGTTTGCAATGATAGTCATTAAACAAATATTGTTTTACATGAGATATCAAAAAATACCATGTGCTACATGTTAATCTTGTAAATATAGGGATTCATTTTATAACAACATTTTATAAAAACATTTTATAACAACCCTACATGTAATATATAATTAAATATTTTGTGCGTGTAAAAGTAGCATAGACTTTTATAAGCTACGAATGTATGAATAAACTAAATTAATCTTAAATCTTGATAGGTCTTATTTCGAATGGAATAGTGTCACCGGTTATGGTTCATCTGCAGTATCTATGTTTTAGAGAGACAGTCTAGCGTTGAACTTAACATACTCAACAACAAATAAACCTTTACTATCAATTACTGTAACTAAAGTTTCAATTTCAATATTTCTTCAAAGGAACTTCAAACACTACGGAAAGTAAACTAATAGTATTATTTATCAAATGATAATGACCCACATATATTGCGCCGTCATACTAGTCAACTTTACCGAGGCGCATTATGGAATTAAAAAAAGGTGAGAAAGGAGGAGAATTGTAACAAATTAGATAAAACTATCCATGTGAACGAGGTTTAGTGAGCCTAATTAGACTTCACAACCATGGTTATCATGATTGGTGACATATTCCGGGTGGTTTGGACCGAAGTTCATGGCTGGACAATGAGATATTGAAAGACATCAAGAAAACCACAATTTCTTTTGGAAACTTTATCAATCAGCGGGTTGCGCGTTCCGCAGAGGGGGTTGTTAATTGATATGATGGATATGTTGGTGTATGTACGCCTTTGTAATGACTCCGAGCAAATATCGTAATAAGGGGGAGGTCTTGGGCGGGGTCGTTGGACCTTAGCGGAAGGAGGCATAAAGATTTAGGAGAGTATATAAGGAGAAGATATTTGCTGAGAAATCATCATCACCATCTCAGCTTCTTCTACAGAGATTGCATCATTCCTCCTGATTCTCCTTGGTGAGTATACCTCAATGGTTGTCGAAGTATACCTGCGATATTCGTAAATTTTCTTGACTCTGCTAGTTTTATTCATAATTTAATTATAGACTTTTTGTTTTCTTAGAAAAAGAGTGACCAGAATTATTTTGCTTATTGTGCAGTCACTGATTTTTTTAAATTTCGTACCTTTCTATTCAAATATGGATTGGCCAAAATGTTTCACATCAGTGTTAACGGTGAAATAGATAAATGCAATCAAACCATATACAAATAATACATTTTATCTCGTAATCAAATGAAGTTCAATTTATAATCATCTCGCAATGTTTCAAAACAGCTCAGTGTTTTTCATGCTTTTTTCATACAATGTATAGCATTTGGAGTGCCCAGTTGAGAATTATTCATACTGCAAAGTCTTTGATATTTTGTTCTGCAGTATATGCTTCTTCTTCTCTCTCTCTCTCTCTCTCTGTATCCATGTCTTACTACCTATCTATCTAACTTTCTAACTATCTTCACTCTGCAAAATCTCAACAAATCATAAAACTTAACTAACTATCAGTTTCCATTTTGTTTTACTTCCATCCAGATTTCATTCCATCGTCGCCTTATCACCCAATCAATCAAAATGGCTTCCAAGATGCTGCTCGTGATTTTTGCCGTTGTCATGGCAACTGCCTTAGTAACCGCCGAAACGTTCGACGATCTAACGGATGCCGATCTGGATGAGATGCTGGACCTGATGTCGAAGAGGGCTGATTCAAACGATGCCAACGGTGGAATGGTGTTCGACGACGCCTATGCTGAAATGGCCAAACGGGGACTAGGACGTGGAAAGTTTATCCGTAAGTATATTAATTTTCACCGATACGCGTTTGGATTCTAACACAATTGCTCCTGTGCCAGTTGCTCCGCGGTATTTTCAATCATAGAAGAACCTGATTCCGCAACATTAGACCCTTAGCCCTCACCTCTAAAATGTAACATATTTTGCCATTTGCATCCTAATCATCACCATGTCCTTTGACGAATTAAAGCTCGAAGATTTTGCCGCCAGCGCAAAATATCGAATTACCGTAACTGAGAAAAAAATAAATTGCTCGCAATAGACGGTCAGAGACATAACGTGCGAAGAAACATTTAACAGGAAATTAACCTTTCAACTACGAAGCATTAAAATGACATAAAGAATAAAACAATGTTTAATTTGATTTAAAAAGCATTGCTGTATGCCAAATATTATCGTCTTACAAGTAAAATGAAGAAACCCTACTTCGCCGTATTCACGACGTCGCCTACTCCCCAAGGAAGCTGCAGTTTGTCGAAACTTCCCTTCAAAACTTCCGGGTTGTGACGTTTTGCAGGGAGAACTGATAAAGCGCGCGGCGCACGCTTTATATGCAATACACGTCGAACACGGTGTACCTCCAAGTGTTTGGTTGTAATAATTGTTCCTCGAAAACCAAAAGGAAATCGTTTCCAGACCAACACAATCGCAATGAAATATTCAAGCTATAGGTAGACGCTCTGAAAGTAGATAACATTCTGGACAAAAGGTACAAGTACCGTAGTACGATACGAAAAACGATGTGATCTGCAGTGATCAGTTTACAGTTTACAGAAGAGAAACATATGCACGTGATAGCGGTCGAATCCATGCGATACGTCACAGAACGGGCCGTGTGCAAACCCAATGGCTGCGCTCTCATAGAGACGAAGGATTCTGAAGAAGAGTTTCGCCTCCCTTTTTTTCTTCAAATTTATAATATTTGATATTTTCAGATAATGTTTTAAATGGCCTACAAACTGAATTAACATATGGGTTGAGATTAATTTTCCTTTAAAGAAGGAGATAGGGAAACTTATTTGGGCATTATTGGAATGAAAAACGAGAAAATAATTATGTAGATGCTGATATATACGTACTCGTACATTCTAGTTAGTATATAATGGCATTTTAATTAGATGGGATGGGGGCTAATGTGAAAAAATTGAAATGTTTCAAAAAGGTGTAACAAAGCTTTGTTGTATTGGACTTTTGGGCAAAATTTCATAAATATTACGTAAGACGATCAGGTTTAAAGGGGGTGCAAGTGATAAAGGCCTAAATGTAAAACACCCCAACAAATTACGTGTCATCTAATGGCCTTGATAACTTTTGTCCATGCGGACAAGGAATTATTCCATCATTCTGGACTATTTCTTCGTTTATGGACTGTGAAAAATACAGAAAATGCTACTTAATCCTTGTTTTATTGAGCCCTTTCTAAACCATAAAGTCAGAAATCAATTTGGGGCATTGCCCCAAATTGTAAATAATCACGTGACTGAAATCATAGTACCATATACTAGCAATTTGAATATCTTTCATTGATGCCTAATGAAATAAAAGTTATTGAGATTGTGTATGTTGTTATTTGAAAACTCCTATTTGTCAGATGGAGGTGGTTTCTAAATTATTTATTCCTTTGTTTCACCATTTCATGTGACAGGTTGTGTACATCCCCTGAACGGCTTCCAATGCGTTTGTGACAAGCGACAACGCAAGACCAGCCCCAAGTACTACAGGGTCTGCGGATACGAGTAAGACACCAATCGTCGAACCGAACCCAACACCCGAATGGACCGGTATCCAATACACACGTCAAAGGTCAAACTTCGGAAAGAATCATCGCCTGACTCCAGCAGCGTATAGTTGAACGCAAATTATATTGGGTCATTGCACTTTTTGCCAGTGATCGGAATGATTCAATCGCTATGTTAGACATCCAATAGGAATCGCTAACATCTAATTTTGCTTTCAAAGGGTGTTTCGTATTTGATTTGTTCAACTATACGATTTGGCCCTGTCACTTTAATGTACATGTGGTTTTTAGCATTTTTTCACGTGCTAAATGTTGACATGCCACGTGGATCTCATGTGCGCTTACATGTTATTCGTTTAAGTAACCTGTCGAAGTAAAAGTTTTTTTTTTTGCCGTGATACCTCTTTTGTTTCATGAGGGTTTTTTATATACTTTTTATACACCATTTGTTTAAATATCAATCTTAGATAATGAAGAAGATTTTAGTTAAAGCTAATAAGTAATGCATAAATAAATGCAATCGGAATTTAAAATTGTCTACATCTAGAATCATGTAGCCGTAGAATAATAAGATCAAATTATAAAAATAATTACTGTTTAATTTTTAAATAATCTGAATCAATAAATTAGTCTACTGTAGATGGCATACGTAGCGTATATTTGTAGAAGCATTAGATTTTATCATGGACAACGCAAACAATTTAAATGTATGTTCGTTTTGATAATCATCGGAATATTCCTATTTTGGTAACGCTGCAACTTCTAAATAAAGAAGGTTAAATTTAAAACCTTATGATGTCATTGCTTTCTTTATCATTCCTTAAACTGCAGGTGAAAAGTGATGTATGAAAGATGTACTTGGTAATGCATTTTTCGAGAGAAAATAAGTGGAACTTGGATTTTATAAAAAATAAGTAAAAAGCCAGTAGAGAGAGGGGGAAAGAGAGGCGGGGAGTGCGTAGAAGAAAGAAAAGTACCTGCATAGATTGGGACGGGAATAGAGAGCAAACAAAAAAGAGAGAGGTGGAGAGATAGAGAAGAGAGAAAAAGAGAGTAACGGAAAGGAGGGGGAGGCAGAGGAATGTGGAGATAAGAGAGAGAGAGAAAGAGAGAGAGAGAGAAAGAGAGAGAGAGAGAGGTTACGTAAATGAGAGATTAACATAACATAACTTGAGAGCTATAGAGAGGGCTAGCTATGCTTTGGGGGTTTTCGCCTCGCATTCTGTTATTATTCATTTTATTTACTGTAAGATGTTTTAAGCTGCATGATTGAGTCAATTTGCTCTCGAAGGTGGATGCTTCCAAAACCTCATAGTACAAAATGACTTGTATTTTATTTACATAATAAACCTTTCGGAATAACCTCTTAACAGATTCCTTCAATAATCGATCGAAAGAATAGTATTCAATGTTATGTTGTGAGTGACTTGCTAGATGTGTCAAGGGCAACATAGTATTAACATTAAAAAACATTTTTAATAATATCATTTATTTGGGTCTTTATTAAATTGCTTCACCCCTCCTTGCATCCATTTTGAAATTACTCTATGAAACATCGTTCTGCATGGATAAAATAGTTCAGTTCAGTATAGTTCAGTTTATTGAATTCCATCTTTAAAAACATGTTTGCAAAGTAACAACGTGCAATTTCATGAAGAATATAATAATTGGGATAACATATACATGCGAAATTAATTAATACAAAACGAAATAAGGCACAGCTGTAAAAAAAAAAAAAAAAAAAAAAAAAGTTTTGTTTGGACATCTTCCTATCAAATTACATATAATAAATGTAGTAAGAAAACAAGTAGCAAGTAAAATTTCGGATATTATCATTCAGAAATTGCATAACAACCGGCACAAACCCAGAACATGAAATACAACATGGTAGGATGAAAAAGTCTGAAGATAGCAAAGGTGAAATGTGAGGGAAAGAAAGAAAGAGAGAGAGAGAGAGAGAGAGAGAGATAACAAGCTGGAGCAATACATTCAGTGAGAGTCATGCGCAATCAAGAAACTTTTGAGATTACGTTTAAAACTGTTGTAAAATGAGATTGAAGTTATATTAGTTGGAAGAAAGTTCCAAATTTCCTAAAATAGAACAAAACATTGCTGTCTTCCGCCTTCATCCATCATAAAGTCAATGGGCATTTCTCTTTCCTCGGATGACTCCGCCTTTGGAACCGGACCCTGGCGCCCAGAATGACCACTACAAATATAAAAGCAATATCATTTCATGCCTCCTTGCATTTCCAAGTACTACAACAGTAATCGCTGGTCAAATCATCTCTTTCTTTTTTCTTTTTCAAAATCCTCTTTTATTTTCATAGAGGTTGACTCTAATTGACCCCAGCCCCCTCCTTTAGCACATGTTCTTGTTACGATCTGTGTAGTATCAAATATCTAATAACGGGTAGCCAAATCTGCCAGCACAATCAAAGTCATTACGATTTAATTACTGTCATGATTAGGGTTTAGTTCATTTCCGCATCATTACAATCAGCTATTCCAAAGCCTCCTCGCTCGTTGCTTTCTAATTCCAATGTGTCAAACGGTTACCACTTGAGGTCGGTTAACATTGAAAGTCTAAATTTATTGTTGTTTCCTGAGATTTAAAGTATAAATCCCTTCTAACGCTCATGCAATCTTGTTTCGTTTGGTTTTTCTCTTTGTTTTGCCTTTGTTTCTTCCTTGCCTTTTGTTTTCTTGCTGTTTTTTCGTTATCATTAACTTTCTTTAATACTTGTTTTCTAAATCCTTAGCCATTTCAATGCTATTCAAGGTCAGTATATGATGATAGACAATGAAAAAAAAATATATTTCATGATAAATTTATAAATTTTGTAAACTATATGTTACTCTTGTAAATATCAGGATTCATTTTATAACAACAATACAATGTGGATTATTAATGTACCATGAAATTTAATATTTGTTTTAATACATAACATGTAAAAATATCACACACATGCATGATTTTCGTATGTATAGATAAAGTTTATGATCCTCTAATCTTTTATCTTGAAAGGTCTTATTTCTAAGGATTCAGTGCCAACGAGTATGGTTCATCTGCAGCATTTTATGTTTTAGAGAGACAGTCTACAACGGCCAAGCATGTACTATTAATTACTGTTACTCCAGGTTACATTTCAATCATTCTTGAATGGAACTTCAAACACTACGCAAAGTAAACTAATAGTAACATTTATAAAATGATAACCTAAATATATTGCACCGTCATAATAAAACTATTCCAAGGCGCATTGTGAAATTAAGAAAAGTAAGAAAGGAGAAGAATTGTAACAAATTAGATAAAAGTATCAGTGTGAACAAGGTAAGTGAGTTTAATTAGACTTCACAACCATGGTTATCATGCTTGGTGACATATTCCGGGTGGTTTGGACCGAAGATGACGGCTGGACAATGAGATATTGAATGACATCAAGAAAACCACAATTTCTTTTGGAAACTTCATCAATCAGAGGGACTGCGCGTTCCCCAGAGGGGCTTGCTAATTGGTCTGATGGATATGTTGGTGTATATACGCCTTTATAATGACTTCGAGCAAATATCGTAATAAGGGGGAAGTCTAGGGCGGGGTCGTTGGACCATGGCGAAAGGAGGCATAAAGATGTAGGAAAGTATATAAGGAGAAGATGTTTGCTGAGAAATCATCATAACCATCTCAGCTTGCAGAGATTGCATCATTCCTCCTGATTCTCTTTGGTGAGTATACCTCAATGGTTGCCGAAGTAGACCTGCGATATTCGCAAATTTACTTGATTCTTGCTATTGTATTTATATATAAACTTGTTGTTATCTTAGGCAAAGAACGAGAAGAGTGATTATGCTTATTGTGCAGTCACCGAATTTGTTTAATTTCGTACTTTTCTATTCAAATATGGATTGGAAATAATGTATCACATCAATTTTATCGTTCTTGGTATTGTATCATTAAAATACGTTCCTTAATTAGAGTAATGCAATCAAACCATATACAAATATCTTATTTATTTCCAAATGTTACTACTCAATCGCGACTCATTGTAGAATGTGTGCTGACTAATACTTTTATCTTGTGATCAAAGGAAGTTCAATGTTTAATCATCTCGCAATGTCTCAAGACAGCTCTGTGTTTTCCTCCTTTTTCCTTATAGTGTACAGCATTTGAAGTGCCAAGTTGAGAGTTATTTATAGTGCCCATTCTTGGATATTTCTTTCTGCAGTATATGCTTTTTTTTTTCACTCTCTCTCTCTCTCTCTCTCCTTGTCTCCATGTCTAGCTAAATATTTTTCTATCTGTCTGTCTATCTTCAATCTGCAAAATCTCAACAAATCATACAACTGAACTGACTATCAATTTCCATCTACTTTTATTTCCATCCAGATTTCATTCAATCGTCGCCTTACCAATCAAAATGGCTTCCAAGATGCTGCTCGTGATTTTTGCCGTCGTCATGGTAACTGCCTTAGCAACCGCCGAAACGTTCGACGATCTAACGAATGCCGATCTGGATGAGATGCTGGCCGTGATGTCGAAGAGGGCTGATTCAAACGATGCCAAGGGCGGAATGATGTTCGACGATGCCTATGCTGAAATGGCCAAACGAGGACTAGGACGTGGAAAGTTTATCCGTAAGTATATTAATTTTCACCGATACGCGTTTGGATTCTACCACAAATGCTCCTGCGCCATTTGCTCCGCGGTATTTTCAATCCTAGAAAAATCTGATTCTGACAGTCAAACTTGCCGCAACACTTTACCTCTAGTCCTTACCTCTAAAACCTAACCTATGTTGCCATTTGCATCTTAACCATCACCCTATACTTTGACGAAATAAAGCGCTGACCTTTCGGATTATCGTAACTGAGAACAAATAAAATGCTCGCAATAGACGGTCAGAGCCATAACGTGCGAAGAAACATTTAAAAGGAAATTTACCTCTCAACTACGAAGCATTATCATGACATAAAGAATAAAGCACCGACTGATTTGATTTAAAAAGCATTGCTGAGTGCCAAATAATATCAAGAACAATAACAATAAAGAGCAATGAAGAGACCCTACTTCGCCATATTTACGACGTTGCGTCGTCTGCTCCCCCAAAAAGTTGCCAGATTGTAGAAATTTCACTTAAAAGCTTCCGGGTTGTGGCCTTTTTGCAAGGAAAACTTATTTGGCGCGCGCGTTATATACAATGCATGTCAAACATGGTGTACTGTCAAGTGTTTGATTGTATTAATTTTTCCTCGAAAACCAAGGGGAAATCATTTCATCGGTTTCCAGACCAACACAATCGCAATGAAATATTCAAGCTACAGGTAGCAGCTCTTAAGGTGAAAAAAATGTCTTGACAAAAAGTAAAAATACGACAGGAAAAACTATGTGATCTGCAGTGATCATTTTACAGTTTAAAGCAGGAAAATGTACGTACGCAATACCGGTCGAATCCATGCGAAACGTCACGGAACGGGCCGTGTGCAAACACAACGGCTTTGTTCTCAGAGCCACAATTGAGAGACGAAGAATTCTGAAGAAGACTTTCGCCCCCCTTTTACCAAATGTATGATATTTAATATTTCTTAGATAATGTTTTAAATGGCCTACAAACTGAATTAACATGTAGTTTGAAGTTAATTCCTCTCCCAGGAAGGAGATGTGGAAACGAATTGAAGCATTATTGGAAAGAAAACCGAGAAAATGTACGTAGATACTGATATAAACGTACTAATGAAATATATTTGATAGATAATGGCATAGACCTATACCAAAGCCTTCTTGTATTGAACTTTTGGTCAAAATTCCATTTACTTCAGATATACACGATCAGGTTTAAAAGGGGTGCAAGTAATATAGGCATTGGTGTAAATACACCCACAAATTACGTGTCGTCTGATTGCCTTCACTGTTTTCTTCCATGCCCCATATTGTAGCTAAGCACGTGACTTAATAATATAATGAATACCCTACTCGCAATTTGAATATCTTGTATTGATGCCAAATCAGATATCAGTTATTGAAATGGGACATTTTGTATCTAATTTGAATACCCCCATCTTGTCAGGTGGAACTGTTTTCTGAATTATTCATATCTTGGTTTCACTATTTCATGTTGCAGGCTGTGTACATCCCCTGAACGGCTTCCAATGCATCTGTGACAGGCGACAACGCAAGACCAGCCCCAAGTACTACAGGGTCTGCGGATACGAGTAAGACACCAATCGTCGAACCGAACCCGACACCTGAATGGACCGGTATCCGAGTACACACGTCAAAGGTGAAACTCCGGAAAGAATTATCGACCGACTCCAGCAGCGTAGTTGAACGCATATTATATTGGGTCATCGCACTTTTTGTCAGTGATCGGAATGATTAAATCGCTATCGATAACATCTAATTTTTGCTTTCAAACTCAAAGGGTGTTTCGTATTTGATTTGTTCAACTATTCGATTTGGCTCTGTCACTTTAATGTACATGTGATTTCTAGCATTATTTCACGTGCTATACGTTGACATACCACGTGAAGTTCATGTGCGTTTACATGTTATTCGTTTATGTAACATGTCGAAGTAAAAGCATTATTTTTTGACCGTGATACCTCTTTTGTTTGATAACGGTTTTTGTTATATACTTTTTATACACCATTTGTTTAAAGGTAGAGACCAGTATTGGAAACGCCCCAATTTCAAAAAATGAAATAGAAGCTCTTTATTACCGATCACGTGAAAGAATATGTTTTGACTAATTCATGATGATACAAATTTTGCCGGGAAACCGCCTACTAATTGATATATTTTGGTAGATTAGTTTATCTGTTTGACTGTAGAGAGATAAACGCACGTGTCGCGCACGTGTGCGTAGTCCCATATACATCTTTCTGTGTACAGTGCTTGCAACTTTACCGAGACTGGCTCAAATTTCTTATCATTTTGATGATTCGAGAGCCTTGCAGTACACACCAATACTTATATGCTAGATGATCAACCTTTTCTGATCGATTCCACAACGTTTCTTTCAGCATGACCATAACTGGTCTTTATCTTTAAATATCAATCTTAGATAATGAAGAAGATTTTAGTTAAAGCTATTAAGTAATGCATAAACAAATGCAATCAGAATTTAGAATTGTCTATGTCTAGAATCATTTAGCCGTAGAATAGTAAGATCAAATGAAACAAATAATTACTGTTTAAGTTTTAATAATCTGAATCAATAAATTAGTGTACTGTAGAAAGCATACGTAGCCTAGATTTGTAGAATCATTTGATTTTATTATCGACAACGCACAATTGTTAAATGTATGTTCGTTTTGATAACCATCGGAATATTCCTATTTTGGTAAGGCTGCAACTTCTAAATAAAGAAGGTTACCTTTCAGATCGTATGCTGTCATTGCTTTCTTTATCATTCCTTAAACTGCAGGTGAAAAGTGGTGTGTGAAAGATGTAGTTGGTGATGCATTTTTGGAGAGAAAATAAGTGGAGCTTGGATTTTTAAAAAAATAATTTAAAAGCCAGTAGAGAGAGGAGAAAAGGGAGGTAGGAAGTGCGAGAAAGAAAGAGGAGACATGCACAATTGGAACGAGAATTGAAAGCTAAAAATAGAGAGAGAAGTGAAATATAGAGAAGGAAGATAAGGAGAGTGATAGAGAGGAGGGGAAATAGAGAAATGCGGAGATAAGAGAGTGAGATAGCGAAAGAGAGAATGGGGGGGGGGGTAACGTAGAAGTAGAAGAGAGATGAAAATAATATAACATGAGAGCTAATGGGAGGGATAGCGATTGATTGTTACGGAATGTTTTGATTGCAAAATATAATTTATATATATAATTATTTGTTTACCACTTGTGAGATAAACCACCCTTTTCATTACTAGTGTTGTTTATATTATGGGTCCACAATACAGGTTAAACAGTGTGATTAATATTTGCATTAATGATTCCTTTCATGGCTTTTATTAACCTTTATTAAGCATCATGAGCCCTCATTCTTCTATATTGCAACAAAGAAATTAGACAGCGAATGTCTACATCACCAAGCGACACACAGTGTAGGATTATAGCGTTACCTAGCTAAAAATGAAACACATGCCAAAATATGGTTACACGTATTAAATCTACATTTCCATTGAAATGGAATTAGGAAATTGGTTCTTTTTCCCCAACACATGACGAATTTGTTATAACCAGTTACGCGCACACACTCACGCACATATACACACGCACACTGGGCAAAAACCCATAAAATGGGATGGGCTCGCATTGTTCGTACTGATTAATGTACCTTAAAGGGATGCTTTATTACTCCTGTTCTCTATTTGCCATGCGGAAAAGAAAGAAGAAAATAATAACATTTGAAGGTGCTTGGTGTCCTTCTGCTCCATTTGAACCTTTATTTATTTCAATGTATATTAAAAGTCTTGTTTTCAGTGATTTAGGGGAAGGGCAATGTCAAATTTAATTTTGAAGACCTAATTTTGGGAGGAGGCATTTAATAGTGTCGTTCACCCCCCCCCCACCCGTCACGCACGTACACACACATAAACACACACACACACACGCACACACGCACACGCGAACACAAACACAAGCACATACATACACAAACCTACAGGCCCACCCCACAAACGTAAATATATATTCTTGTGAAAGCGCGTTCGTTTTTGACGTTATATCAAACTAACCTTGTACATGTATTATCCTGATGATTGGAAATATGAAAATGAGACTTAAAGGCATGATCATGCTTTATGCATTCTACAGACTACGTCCTTTAACCTTTAAGATGCGAAGGCTTCTCATCAATACATTAAAAGGACAGGCTCCTTTGTATAATAATAGCGTTTTCTTTTATAAACATCTAACGAGTATGATAGAACCTTCACTTTATTTTAATAACTTGCACTTTTATTTCCTTCATGCCAGTTTTAATCACTTTCTTTCCGTAGAGCCTGTTTCCATATGTATGAGTAATCAACGAACTGATAATAGGAAATTCAATATTAAAGGGAGGTGATAGATAAGCTGATTATGAGTGGAGATATACCCCCTCCCCTTTAAGTTTATTCTGCCCTTTTCCGCCGCCCTTTAAAATGTGATGTAGGTACCTTCATCTCCCCAATATACTCCCTAGTAAGGGAAAAGTGAGAGTCGCCTTGTCTAAGGTCTGGCTATTGTTCTTCTTTGTGTTTGCATGATTTTGGAGGGTGGGGGAATATTGGGATACTTTTTCCGAACCCCCCTCCCCCTCCTCACTTTCAAAATTGTCTAGCGATGCCAGAAAACGAATTTAAACAAAAATCAGCTTTACGATGAGCTAGTTATGTGTCACGAGTTCACGACCTTCAAAATCATCACACCTTCAAATTACGATTCATTCATTCTTATTTAATTCCAAGCAGAAAATACAAAAGTCATCAAAACTGGAATAACTCGCGCAATTTCAATCGAATCTCCATCTGACAAATACAATGGTAACATTTGCATTTGAAAGACAGTACCATTGTTGTCAGCAATTCAGGAAAAAGGTTTAATCATCTAGGTTCAATTGGATATATATCATGCTTGACGAATAGTCATAATAAAAGCTTCCAAACGAAATAAAAACCTCAGAAAATGTGGAAATCCACACAATCTTGATTTGACCGTTGGCTGATACGGCTATACAGTAGAGCACGAACGATAAGACGCCATACAGGTAAGCCTTTTTGTCACCTTATTATTTTGTAATAATGAATTTAAACCCGGATTATTTGTAGAGCTGTGCTTATTTATTTAAATATGGGAAATATTCGGAAATATAATGATCGGTCTTGTATAGAACTGACATTGACGATTTATTTAACAGTTCATTTCTTGCATTCACCCTTTAACTTTGGGTATCGTCCAACTTCTGAGACAAAGATTAAAGAGAGGAAGAGGGAATTTGCTTCAAATTTGATGACATTTTTTCACATACCAATTACTATTGTTTTGTATTTTGAAGGCAGGTACGGTAATCAACGTTGATTATGACACAATATGAACAGCAACAAATCTTTCCTGCCTATAAAGGTTTATGATTTTTAAATGGATATCACCAATAATACGATGTTAGTCACTCATCTGATATATATATATATATATATATATATATATATTGTTTAAGTCTTACATAAGTTGGTTTGTTTGTCTGCAGTTTGAGCAGGCTGTGCCACTGGTGATTATTGTTTTAAAAATTATATGGAAACTTTACAAAACAATCGGAACATCAAAGGCGTTGTTTTGTCTGCATAAACGGAATCGAGGAACCTCTTTCGTAAAATTTAATTTGACACTAAAAGTATGTTAAATAAGGGCGCGTGACATTGATACCCGATGATGTTCCGTGTAAGAAAGTACACTTGGGTTTGTTTGAAAAATACAAGAGGCACAACAATGTACATCTCCTCTTCAAAGACTTAGTCTGCTAAATATGAATGCAATGACTTTCGATTGATAGAATATCAATTGTTTTCACCTATTGTATTTAAAGCAGTAATTTTGTATTCTACACTCTGTCACTTTAATAGTTGCATATTTCTGAAGGAGAGGCAGTGAGCTACGGAACTTTTGTGAGATTGATTTTTGTTAAAATCTTTGAAACCGTGCTATTGTGGTCACAATTACAGAATACCCAAAGAAGAAAAGAAATATCATAACGTGGCGACGAAAATGCTTCTTATCTGCATGATGGTGGTCGTCGCTCTCGCCTCGACGTCGGCGATACAGCTCAACGAACTCAGCGATGACGACCTCAATGCCGTGTTGGACTTCGTCGCTAAGAGGAACTACCAAGAGACGGTCGTCGGTAACGATTCCGGCGATGAGGCGGACTTCGATGACCTGATGGACAAGCGTGGTCGAGGACGATTCAGGAACAAATTGGAAAGTAAGATATGATTCGATTATTTTTTATTCCTACAATCTATATAGTACTTTTATGTAAATTTGTTATATTTATGATAGTAAATATAATCACATCTATTGCTCTAAGAACTTTTTTAAGTGTGTGTGTATATGATGTTTGTGTATAGTTAATTGCCCAAAGCTACCCCCTTTTCTCTCTCTCTCTTACTCTCTCTTACTCTCTCTCTCTCTCTCTCTCTCTCTCTCTCTCTCATTCTCTTGCTTTTGCTGTAGATGCTTGTTTGTTTGATCGTTAGGATGGTAGGCTAAAATAAATAATGCTCTTGAATTCTCATCGATATTATTTTTAACGTAATATTTTAAACAGCACAGGAAGGTATTCAATTAGTATTCAAATTTTACGAGTTGATATTATGCGAATTTCTCTTTCCCTCTTCCTCAATATCATTATCTCGCAATCTCTCTCTCATTATGTTAATTATAATTGTTATTACTTTTGGTAGTTGTAGTTTGTTATCATTATTATTGTTATTGTCATCATTATATTGTGGAAAGTATTATATTTGTCATTATTATCATCATAAGGATGTTGGGAACCCTTGAGAGAAAAAGAGGGAGGGAAAGAGGAATATGGGAGGGGGAATCATGTAGTAAAATAGCTATTATCTATTTTGCATTAGTTCAGTGGATGTAATTATTACATTTTTCTTGCTTTTTTTGTTGTAAACATAATTGTTATCATTGTTATCTTCATTGTCATTGATATTTTATAACTTTGTTTTTTTCTCGTTTTTTCTTTATTTCTTCTTCTTTTCCTTGTGTTTGTTTACCCCCCCCCCCCACCTTCCTCTCTTTCTGTCTCTCCCTCCCTTCTCTTCTCTTACCACTCGGTCTTCTCTCTTTCTATCTCTGTCTCTCTTTTTTTTCTCTCTCTTCTCGTTCTTAAACTCCCTCTTTATCAATCTATCTTCATCTCTTTTCTCTCTCTATCTCTCTCTCTCTCTCTCTCTCTCTCTCTATTCCACTCTCCCTCTGTCACAATATATATCTCTCTCCCTCTCCCTCTATCTCTCCATCTCTCTCTCTTATTTCTCAACTGTTCGATTTAATATACAGAGTGCGTGAATCCGTCTAATGGTCTGCTGTGTATGTGCGACAACAAGTACACGGATGCCGAACCCAAAAAGCGTTACAAAGTCTGTGCCTATTATTAGTCATCCCGCAGTCAAGTCAATCAACGAGAAGAAAAAAGCATCAATGCGTTATGATGGAATCTAACTCCTGTTGTGCCAGTCGCACATACAATTAAGTGGCACATATATATATTACTACAGCCAAACCTGCTTTAGTGACCACATGTCTACAACGACCACCTGTCTACAAAGGCAATATTTGTTGTTTCCCTTGAAAATGGTTTCTCGTTATATCATGTGCTAAAGAAACCTGTCTACAAAGACCACCTGTCTACAAAGGCCACTTTTTGTGTTTCCGTCGGGTAGTCACTATAGACAGGTAGTAGTAAACAAATAAGGAACACAGTCCTACAGGACTGTGACGAACTTCATTTCACAACAATATTCGTGCATTTAATTAAGCTAAGTACGAATCTTTTCGGAATTATATCATAAAATGGCTAGTTCTCCAATTGTAATTCTAAACATGGTATGATTGAATAAGTACAGGTATTTGTAAAGTAGTCCTTGTTCACGTTTTTGTCGAATCCTGAATAATCAAAGCCACTGGCACAGTATGAGTTAAAATGACAAATTGACTATTGGTCTCAGGGTCAAGAAACGGCGTGGAGTATACCTCATTATTTCTAGTTAACCTTTCGCTTCATCAGATGTTTCTTTCATAGTAGGTTGAACTTCTAACCTAAGCTAAATATCTTACTATTTCCCGATTGAAACCTACGATAAATAAAATAATAATACAAAATAAAAGCAAAGTACTTTCACTTGTTTCGTTGTTGTTGTTGTTGTTGTTGTTGTTACTGCGGTTCCTGTGTTTGTTGATGTTGGTGATGATTTTGCTGATCATGTGTTGGTGCTGTTGTCCTTCACATTTTTTGTGTAACATATACCTGGGGGTGGCTATTTGTAAGTGCCCATTTCTCTGTCATTCTCCGTGATCACTTTCAGATTTTCTCTCCTTTTCCCTCTCTTCCCCCTTCTCCTTACCATTCTCTTTCATTTTATATATATATATATATATATATATATATATATATATATATATATATATATTTCTATCCCCTATCCCTTTCTCTCTCTCTCTCTCTCTCTCTCTCTCTCTCTCTCTCTTTATGCCTTTCGCATTCGTTCTGTATCTCTTAGCTTTTAATTGTGTCTGTTTCTCTATGAGAAGATAAATGCTTAGATAAAGTGGAAGAGAATAATTAGAATGACTGATCGACCTACTGTACGATAGTTGACAGAGTAGTGCGTAATCTTGACAGAATTGAAAGGAGGTAAAGAAATCAACACATGATGAAGAATTAGAAAATTGCAGATTGAATGGAGAGAAAGATAGGAAATAAATATATCGAGAAGAGAAAGGGAGAGATAAAAAGACTGGAAAGTGGTGGCACAGATTCATGAAACACAGTCCATGAATTCAGAATGGTAAAGAAAATGGCAAAAAAGGAGTAGGAGAGAGGGGTTACGAATGAAGAAAGAACGGAAGGCGGTTTACTAAGTTAAACATATTGCATCTAATGCCCGATGGACAAGATGCGTCACTCCGGTTACGTTAATACCTGCGATAATCAATCCTGCGATTGCAATTTGACCATGTACTTTCTAGTAATTCAGCGCAAATATCGCACTGTTCATTTTTGCATTAACGTCATGTACGATACCCCTCTCACGTGACCCTTTATAGTCCGCACCAGCCAATGACGCAGACCTGCGTCAGCAAAATGACGCCCCGTGTGCAACACGCATTGGCCCAACTTCACAAAGGAGGTTTAGATTTGACACAAGTCAAAGGTCCAATATTAGACGCGCGCAAGGCAGGGTACGCTTATTTTGCGCTAATTTTTAAACCATGGATTATGTAAATAAGGGTTTAAACCATGGGTTAAATCTCGACCCCCTTTGTGAATTCGGGCCAGTGGGTTTACTGATTTAAATCAACACTCATTTCACAAACGCATGAATGGAAACCAATATGCTATGCCTAAAAAGAAGCAAGAAAAGAAAAGCATTTGAAAATGTTCGTTTTATTATCTCGAAATTTACTGAACGTAATGGATTCAGAATCACATTGTGGATATCTAAGTAAGTATATGAATAGCAAATGGGTAAATAATTTTTTTTTTCAATAACGTGGCATAACTTATTTATTATACTAGGATGGTAGTACTCAAAATTATCCTCGTGATTGGCTTAATACATTTTAGTAAAAAATGTATAGCACTACTACATATTTCAATCAAATAATAATTTAATTCCAAGTTCATAGTTAAAGTTTGTAATTTGTTTTTAAAAAATTGTGTTACATTCAAAACATATCTCATAAAAAACGCCTCTATAGGAAAAATCACTACAATGCATGTTAGATTTTGCATTACTTACAGATTAATGTACCTAATTATAATTATCTGAAACAAGGTCACAATTATTTTGCCTACAAAGCTGCATATAGGCCGACAGTAAAAACATATCAATAGTACATACATTTTACCCGGCACACTGATAGTAAAGGAAAGTTATATCGTTACGTGGCCAGATTTCATATTTTATGATTATATTCACAAATTTAATTCGTTTAATGACTGAAAACAATTTCAACCTACTGGAGGCTGACTGATAATATTCATGCGAAGTGCGTAAAACAGCCTGTCAATGAATTTTTTAATACTTTTTTTGTATTATCCGGCTAAATATCAAACGATAAAACAAATAAAGAGCTCACATAACGATTTTGTTTTTTTCTTAAATAAAGCATGAGAACGAACACAATATATCAGAAGTAACAATGTAATGATGTTTCCCGGAAACAGTTTTTGTTTAACGTCACCTCAAATGATGAATTCCGATAAGTTTGAAGAAACGTGGCTCCACTCGCCAATTCAACGTTGAAAAATCAATCCACAAAATTAGTTCCAATTAAAGCTTTTCTTTCAGGTCCCTTTGTAGCGGTATCTGTCAGTCCTCAACTGGGTTAAGCAATACCTCCCTCAATCCACAGGCTGTGTAACGCCTCTCTCCTCTCAATCTCGGATCGCACCAGCACTCTTCGTTTGTTGTCGGCTTAGTGCAAACTGAAAATGAGAAATACGGAGGTGACATAATGTATATGAGAAATACTATTAGTCATTATTATAATAACGTCAATAATAATCAGAATAACAATAAAACAGTTTTTTAATCATCATATCATATGTATTATTATTATCATTTTTATTTGCAAAGAATACTACTTAGAAAAAGTATTGATTAAACATATCTGCACCTGTTTTTTAAACGCCTATCAAGTGATTTGTTATCACATATTTGTTGGTTCCTTGCATTTTTATTTGTATATGTTTTCCTCTCATTCAATCATTAGATAATTTTCCTCCCACTTATTCCTTCATTTAATCCTTTATTTACTAAATTCTTGTCGTTACACATATGCTTTTTGTAGAATTATCCCCGTGTCTTTAGTGTCTGTAGTATCTCTTAGTCAGAAGCACAGTGACAGCAACAAATTATATAGAAATATGGGGAGAGACATGGTGGTCAGATCTTCTGAGAATTTATATCGCAAAATCAATCGTTCGTGTTTGTTACATAACTTATTTGAGTAACAAATACAGTTGATATTTTTTCTCTTGTGCTTTCTTCAGTATATCCCATAACGATTGAAATATAAATCAATAGAAGAAATAAGGAAGACACAAATGACTTCAAAACCTTCTTGGAATAATATAGTTTGCTCATTGTTCTTAAACGTGTTTAAATACTGTCTTATTTAAAAAATGGTGCCTTTTACAAAATGCTCATATCTATGTAATTATAACTTATATCCTTGTGAATTTAACATGAAGTTAAGGGGATACAAAAATTACCTATACAGTTGCGCTAAGGATGAATCATTACATATTTTAGATATCGCCAATCCTGTTACTTTTTTAAAAGACACCTCGTACGTGACTAAGAAGTATGATAGATCATGTGTAATTCTGCTCACCATATACAATTCTCCTCTTCATAATGTCTATGACGTCAGCAAAAAGGGGCATCCCCGGAGCAGCACCAGGGTGTTCCCCTCTTTTTGTCTCCTCATCTTCGAAAGTAATTGTTGCCACCGTAACAGCAAAGCACAGCGCCAAAGTGAAGATGAAGAATTTAGAATCCATGCTTGTTTGAGTGTTTACGAAACGGCTCTGAGGAGTATAATGGGGAAAATGCATATTTTAGTTATGTTTGATTTTACCTAAACGTAGTTTGAAATATAATCTAGTATTGTGAGTACGTTTCGACGGGTACTACGCACGATGAAGAATGTTTGTCAATGTTTTATGTGCCTAAGATATTAAAAAATGAGAGCAACTAAAGTGGGGGTAACAATGAGAATTTATTCCAAATTTGTTCTGGTACACCACTGTCTATCTGTGATAGGTTACAGGACATAAACACGACTTAGCACACACTCAACGTATGACAATTATGTACGTATTTCGTGTTATCGTGGTTATAATAAACGTGAACAAGATTTATAGTAAAGTGCGGGCAATACAAGAATCCCCTCTTCAAATCGGAAAAATGACAATTTGCATTGTACATTAAAACGCATTGAGATCGACCACAAAATTAAATATGTTGCCTTTAATCACAAAATGCACAATCACATCCTATGTTATTTCTATTTGAAATATAGAATCAAGTTCACAGGCACAAAATCAAAGAAATGTTTTGTTTCCAGGTAGAGCTAAGATTTGTATCAAAAAACGCATCGATCCTCATACAATACAACTAAACACAAATACTTATATTAAAGAAAGATTCTGTGCCCTGTAGGTTTTTTAGGGGGGAATAATTATCCGACTGCCTTGCTCTGTTGAGCAAACGTATAGAAAAATAAAGTTTTTAAAGAAATAAAATACAATTGTACTCATTTAAATTAAACAAAATACATTGTGGATCTTTCGAAATAAATATGTGCTCGTCCTTTCAACAACAACAAACAAAAATCCGTTTTGAACCAAAAAAGTTGAGTTAACGAGAAATATAAACTTTTGTTATTGTCTTAATCGTATATATAATTGAGCTGTTCTTAGTTTAAGAAATAGTCTTCATAAAAGGAAACGTACCAAAGGTACTTTACCTACCTTGATTCAAAGTGGCTGATCTTCAATTCCAATGTTCTTATCTCGAAATGTCTCTGCTCTTGAAGGTCTTCTCGTTTTTATAGCAACCCCAAAACACTAATAATGGATGATGGCTACATTAATAACCATTACTCAATGATGTGTAAAGAAATCACGACGATGGAACGGGTGCAATTACTGAGGCTGCTAGGGGGTAGTGAGGTGTTTAAACATTAAACTCGTTCATGGAAAACGAAGGACGCGTTAGATAAGGATGTGTACCATTCCTTGGTCTGCAGATTTCATATTCTGATTATCATCATTTGAATCACGATAGCAACATTTTAAATGCGCCTGATTTCCGGCGTTCCATTTAGGTATGAATCGGCTTCATTAAATACAAAAATAAGGTAAAGTCATCAAGCCCTTTGCAAATTATTTAAAACGTAAACTTGTAAACAATACTATGACAGGCCTTCTTTCACAATGGACTTTGGCATGACCATTCCCCGAGAGTCTCTGGGGCTCGAGTAACCCATTTTCCTGCACATTTTTAAAACCTAATTTCCAAAACGTAAATAAAGGTTAATTGAATTCTGGTCGTTGAATAGGATTTCGACAGAAATTGGCTTGTAATTGTTTTGATTTCTTTGTTCATATAGGAGGATGTTTTAATAGACATGGCAAATGTACTAAGAAAAGGATGGACAGAATATTTTAATGATACAATATTCATTAAGCATTGTATTACTTTTATCTTAGTAGCAGTAGAAGTAGTTGGCATAGTATTCGTAGTAGTAGTTGTAGTCGTAGTAGTATTATAAGTAGTAGTAGTAGTAGTAGTAGTAGTAGTAGTAGTAGCAGCAGCAGCAGCAGGAGCAGTAGTAGTAGTCTCATTATTATATCGTTGTTTTAACATTCATTATGTTTGCGATTTCACCATGTATGTAGTCCTGGTGAAAAAATACGGTTGTGTTTTAAAGGGGGTAGGAAGAACAGAGAGAGAGTGAGCAAGAACTTCAATTTCGATGTATTATCTTTTTATTATTGCTGTTATTGTTGTTGCTGTTTTCGTGATTACTTTTATAGAACATAAATAGTTAGGTTCTCCTCTATAAAGAACCCCCTTCAGCTTCATAATTTGACCTTCACCGGACCATCCCAAAAGACCCTCTCAACCTTGATATAATTTAGCCATGCATGGAAAGACCATATTGAGTCAATGAAGGTCTTATATTGTTTCATATTTTAGTAGCTCTCTAATGGTTGAGTAACATGATTTTTGTTCTGTTGTATAGGTTTTGTTACAATACGAAATACTAGCTTGATGATTATCATTATTGATATTTTGTATTCACTCAAAACCAAGGTTTAAGGAGATGTATTACCATCATTATCACCATCATCACCTTCATTATAATCATCATCACCATCGTCGTCAACACCATCATCATCATCATTATCACCGTCATTAAGAATATTTAATTGTTGTTAACCACCCGCCCCCGCATACAAAAACATCTACGCACCGTCAACCGCGTCCATTCTCTAATCGTCGGCCTGCCAGCAAGAAGGTCATAACTGTCGTTCACAATGTATAACTCTTACTGCGTTATTCTGCGCAGCCCACGTAATTATCCCATGCGCGCTACTGCTTAATATCAGCAGGCGCACGCGGAACGGTCCTATCTGCGGGTGGCCGACACGCATGCGCAGTCAGGCGGAAGAGTTTAATCTCCATGTAATTCCATTTGCAGGTATTGCACGGATGGTGAACAGCTATGAATGGGGGAAAATGGCGATGTTTTTTTTTAAATAATAATAACTAGGTTGTATCATACATTTAGAGCTTTCGGGAAAACATAAATTTCACATGTAATTAAAACTCAGCCAAAAACTCTATTCAATATCAGTTTTTTTTTGTATTCAATAAGATACACTTTAATAACATTATTATACTTTTTGGGGGGCACCAAGTAATTAAGTGACAACATCACACAGAATAGCTCATTCTAAAAACATAAAACGACGTCCACTATTTCGGCTGACCTTTTTTTAACAGGTTTCATTTCGAAATTGGATGTTTGCAGAATTACTGAGTCAATCTTATGTTTCGTATATAGATTATGCCCAAGGGGACCACATGACCTTCTCCGAAATAGCGGAGAGAGAATAAGATGATAGTAAATGTAGGACCGTTCAAAATATCCTCAAATGTAAATATCCACAGACTTTCTCTTATCATGTGTATTTTTATTCGTATGCATTTTTTAGCTGTTCGTGTTTATGAACATGTATGTTGTTGAGTATACTGCACTTTATATATCATATTACGCAAAGGGATTTCGAACACAGAAAGATCATTAACAGATTCGTCCCTATTTTCACGAAGTAACGGTAGTGAGGAAAATTGTCACGCAAAGTGTATGCGATTTTTCCTCACTACGTCTACGTCCCCTTTTCTCAGCCATAATTAGATAGAGTGTGCTTCTTGGCTCTCCTTCCCGAATGTATATTCTTCTGGTTTTTAATGTGAAAATAAATGAAATGAAATGAAATGAAATGAATCCGTCAATGTAAATTTAATATGAACAAAGCAATACAAATTCGGGTTAGAAATAAATAAATCATTCCTAAAAAGAGTTCATAAATCCTTGTATTAGACCTTTAAAAAAAATATGTTTTTATTGCCCTTTAGATGCCAAAACATTGGTCGGTCTGTAGGAATTTCTTTTTTTGTAACGTTTTTTTGTTGTTTGTACTCCCTCTTTGTGCTGATAATTGTCAGTTTTTTCTAAAAAAACGGTAACAAAAGCAACTTTTTTAAAAAGCCGACTGTAGATTTGAAGATTTTTGGGTCGGTCGCAAGGTCAATACAACATTTTTTGTTTTGAGGCCTTATCATCAGATCAAAATGCTGTTACTTTGAAAGGATGTACTGAACGATGTATTTACTCATTGGAAATTGTCATTTGAATGTTTTTTTTCTCTTGACACTAGATTTAATTATAACTATTTTTAAAAGTATTTGTATAACGTATATCGCTGTAGAACGTGTATCTTAATTTATGTCATGTATGTATTTTATATTTACATTGTCATTGTACATTTTTATATCTTGTGTTACAATGTTTTCAATTGTGGTGAACAAATAAATTCAATTCAATTCAAACATATAATGGATGTAGAATAGAGGTCATTTATCCTAAGACATATTTGGTAACTGTGGTAATGTTCCCAATTATTCGGGTACCGTTTATTACAACCAACAGTGTAATATTGATGATGATATTATCGTCATCTTACATTTATCCCGAAGAATTGAAGATATCAGGCGTGATAAAAAAGAGAGTAGTCCTGATAATAAACACGATAAAGGCATGTATATACGCTTAATTGTGTGCACTGTAATCTCAATTTATCATTGTTCTAGCCTTTGATCAATGTTATCCATTTCATATATTTTGAAAAGGCCATTGAAATACCCAACAAGGACAAAAACAAATTAATGATTAAATAATTATAGATCATCGTAATATGAAAGCCTTATTTGATGGCCTCGATGATCATTTTCTCTGTTTTAAAACTTGATCTACGCGCTGGTTTCGCTGGCATCTCGGCAGCAGTTCTTTGAAATATTTCTTCCTCTACCGGTACACCATAGAATTAACCACAGAACTCAACACGTTTGGCATGGTAGCCAGACAAAGGAAGGGACCCCACGCCATGCCTATGACAAGCATCACCCAGTACGCCGAAGGAAGTATCGCAAGAAAGAAATTACACCAGGGCAATCGTCTGTAGGATTCGGCTATTCTCCTCTTTTCGCTGCTTCGAAGCCATGCTTGCAGACGTCGTGCCGGTCACGCTGCGGTAAATGAGAAAGTAGGAGCAGCCGATGAACACAGTGGTTGATATCGATGAGGTGAGTAGTAACAAAAAGAGGCTTGTCCGAAAAAAAACTGAATTCCCATTATTCCTAGGGCGCCAACTATCGACCAGGTCAATATGGCTACTACGACGCAGCTGGGCGTGTTGACGATGGCGCGCGAACCGAACGGATCAATACGGATGTTGATAAGCTGGTAGACGGCGACCATGAGTATGCTGATGTTGGAAACGAGAGCTGCAAAGCATGGTGTAAAAACCAACAGTTTACAACATTACCGGCATACCTGAAAAGATAAAACAAAACACCGTTTATAGACCATCTTTGGTTTGAATAATACTGTGGCGGGACGTCATAAGCACTTTTTAAGATATATTGCCCCCAATAACAGAAGTAGAGAAGTAAAATATTCTAGAGGAAGTTCTTTGAACTATTTGTGTACTATTTGTGTCGAAGTATACATTTTTATTACGATCGTTAAAGAAATAAATATAAGAGAGTTTGGCACGTTCTTGCGTGTCAGTTAGGGGGAAAAAAGGTAAACAGCCAACTACTTAAAGAGAAATTCGAGCTGTTTGTCATTCGATTCTGATATGAATATGACTGTCTTAAAGAAATTACTAAATGGTGATTATGAAAGAAAAAATGAAATGATGTAAGGTATAAGATTTGGAATGGTCAAAACGGAAAAGAAAGTCAATCTTGCATAGTGGCATGAAAACATTGGTCAAAGCATTTCATCTTTTTCTCGTCATATTTCGAACAAGAGGGCATTTTGAAGAGGGGCAGCTTTACTGATCATGTTTTAAGCTCATAAATTATTTTCCATCTTTACAAGAACCCAATCGTTTCTTTAAGCGTGGGTATTGCCATAGTGAAGACATCAACTTTCCAAACAAAGTACTTCGATCTTATTCGCGCATCATATCAACCACTGCTCTCATCATGGCGAGGACGTACGTTGTTCTCTTTCTCTCGGTGTTGATGTTTTCTGGTAAGAACTTACTTTCATTATTATATCCACTGATAAAAGCTTTACCATGCACACTTAGCCAAACAGATATATTCCTTATAAGGGGATGTCTAGCGTAACATTAATTTTGTTTGATTAAAAACGGGAAAAGTGAGTCGAATCGATTCGTGAAAGTTTGCGGAAGATCCGATGTGAAATTAGAATTTGTTTTTGTTCTGTTTTGTTGTCTTCTTTAAACTGTGGTTAATCAAACACAACTTGCACATAAAGAAATACTTGGGTAATCTTACTCAAATAGGCAAATAAACTTTGACACTATAGTGACACAATTAACTGAATGCATTAACTCATTAAATTGAAATTAATAGCGCATAGGAATGAGTTTTGTTAATTTGACATTTTTTATAGTGACATGGCTAATGAGTGTTTTAAATTATTAAGTTATTTAATCTAATGTGAGTAAATCGCTCCAACTCAACTAGTGAGTAATGCTTCAATTACTCAGTCAGTCAGATTATATCGCCGTTCTTCGGCCCTTTTTCTGCCGCTGGTCCTTCCCGGCCGTGCCTGAGCTCTAGGCAGTTGTACCGTCAGTGGTGCCGGTCACGGTAGCGTCAAAACCATGTATTTCCATCTCGAGAAATACGATAAAAACCACCAAGATGATTCACAAAAGTACAAAATTGACTTGTAGTAATAAAGACCGAGGTCCAATCAACAAATGTATGTCCAAATATAAATCGAATAACCTCCGATTACGGAGATTTCGACGGATTCTGTGCATGCGCTGGCGGGTCCTCATATATATTCTCGAACGAAAATTATGAAGTAAAATTGTGAGTTTGTATGTTTGTCACTGTAAAAATGGAAGTCCTTCGCCATGCACTCCAGTCCTGATGCACTCCATACATCTCGGTCGTGCACAAGAAGAGCTTCAAAATTTCAGCACTAGATCTACATTCTACATCTAATCGGTAGCCTTAACTTGTTTTAGAAAAAGTCTGAATAAAATTCAAGGGATTCCCTTACTACTAACTGACTCAAAATTAGGAAAAATCAAATCTACTTACACTTATTCTGTGGCCCGTCGGCCGCTAAAAACGTGACGATCGGGTACTTACGTACGATCACGAACGCGTACGAATATACATCAACGAAATAATTACACGCATGCAAAGAGTAAGATAGCTCCTAAGACGAGTACAGCTTAGAAGAGACTGAGGTTGTTGATGTTTGTACTCATCCAACAAATAAAGAGTCTGTGACATAATAGGGTTCAAAAAGCCACTCTACATACTTGTGAGTATTTTTATTCATTCGGTCACTAAAGTTGGAGAATACTCATCCAATATTAACTTACATGTACTTTAATGAGTAAAAAGACTCATCGAGAAAATAATCGGGTCACATACTCTGTTTAAATATCATTTGTCATGTGTAAAATTTCACTAAGAGAAAGGAGGTGTATTCACCAAATGTGTAAAATAATGCGTTTATTATATATATTCTCTCGAATGAATGAGTGAGCTACGATTTTAACTCACATAGTTCCTTTTTTTGTGTGTTTGGAAGCTCCGTTATTTTAAAGGAATAAATACAAGTAGGGAACAAGGAAAAAAAATGCTTACCTTCTTTTTAAAGATCGAGCTAACTATAAGGCGGATACAAGATAAGCCATTTAATAAAAGATCTGTTCATGACGAGGTTGTTAAATGAGTGGAGAATGTGCTTACATTGTTTGCTGGCAAGCTTGAATTCGATCACCAGCCCGTCGTAACTGATATTTAAACACAGAATTTGCATTTATCTGTTATTCTTGTAAACTGGGATATCTTCTCCAAACTTGTCAGGTACTGGAGGAAAACGAACCGAGGAATGCAAACCAGTCGTTATAGACAAGAAGGAAGTACTTCGTACAGAGACATATTATGAAGATACTACGCGATCCTTTGGCAAACCTGGATCGCCTCTATCGCATCCGGTGATGAAGAAGTCTTGTGAAAACGGTAAATAAAACGTCAGGATGATCAACCTTACATGTACTTGGTCCTACACTGAGATTCTCAAAGGGTGATTTTATCAAAAAGAATTTAGACCAAACTGTGCAATACAATATATCTACTTAAAATGGTTCTGATATGTAGCCTATTAAGACAGTGAAACGCAAGGGACCGAACTTTTGTGAATATTGACAATTTGTTGTTGTATTTATCGGCACTAGTGGCAAACCTTCGAATGTGCCAATGAGCTCTCTTAGTACATATGAAGTTAAGACATCTTAAGGCTCATTCAGATATGACGCGGCAAATGAACGAGCTTTAAAAAATAACTACAATTACTAAATATATAATACACTTTCATTAACATGCTCCACCGATCAAAAGGCAAAGCCCGACACCACACTTGTCCTACCCATCGTTACCTAAATGGATATTTTTGTTGTTGTTATCAAATCAGCTAGACAAACAACTCCACCTGCAGACACCATTGCCAATGTACCACGTGACTGTGCTGATATTCAAGCCAGAGGAGAAACTATCAGCGGTATCTACGGCATTCATCCGCGTGGAGTGAAGAACCCGTTCAACGTCTTCTGCGACATGGAGACCGCAGGGGGTGGTTGGACCGTGAGTGAGGAATAATAAATGTTCATACACATGTTCTTCGTGATGCAGTATATTGTATTTGGAAGCATGCACACAAAATATATTTCAAACAACAACAAGAAGAAACAAACACTAATGACAACAAAAAAGACAAAGAATTGACTATGCATACATATGCGAACACATTATTATGATTTAGTAAAGCATAGCTTATGATGGCAATCTCCTGCAATTTGTTATCGACAGATAATTAGGGTAGTATTTTAAATTAATAACAAATATGTTATTGAAATAGGAAGTCGGTATGTATACATGTAACTCAAATTTTGACATAAAGTTAATGTTTACATTTTGCGTATTAAACTTTACATTAACTCGTGTATGTGATTCGGTTTATTGTTACTGAAAAACAACAACAGTAACAACTATAACTATTTATTTTCCTATTCTGTATACCTTTTATTGTGATGGTTCTGTTATGATTATAAACACAACGATATAGTTTCTTATACTATAATACGTATTTGTACAATGTGTGACAAAAGCAAATTTTCATGTTTTCCTGTTAATTTGGACAAATTAAAAGAATTGAATTGAATTAAACTGAAACATCAAACAAACAGCAATGACGACAATGAGACACGGCAAGCACTGTTACAGGCCACTAGCATATGTTAGGTCAGCATGGTGAGAGGTGTCAAAGTGTCCAGCGATGGATCAATCTGCGTACTTTTATAGTCAAATAAAACTAATTCCTATTTTCTCGTTGAACTCTCGTCCACTCCTGCCTCCCTTTCTTCGGCTGTCTGTATGTTTTTTGATTTTTTCTTGTTCGGAAATGAATCAAGAATTTAAAGACAACGAGAACACAAAAAGGGTAACAAAGATCATGTATAATTATAATTTACCTCATCTTGGTTAATATCTGGCAGACTGGCTGCACGTACAGAATGAGATTATTGAAGATAATTTTGTGATGGAACTAGCCCTATACTATTCTTGTACGCGGGGTAAAAGTATCAAAAAATATCCATTACGTGGAAGCCTCTTATCTTCATTTTTGAAAATTGCGGAAGAGAATCTATAAATTTGACCTGGCCTTAGATTTTTTAAATATTTAAATGTCAGAAATTTTAAGAGGGAAACCAGAAGTATCCTTTTGATTCGTTATTGCTGAAGAGGAGAGTCTCTGGGATTAAAACAAAAATCTGCTTCTCCCTCCTTCTATAAACAAGGTATTTCAACGCAGACTGGCTCCTGCAGGCACTGCAAACTTTTCCGTTAACATGACGGCTTACAAGCATGGTTTTGGCAGTGTCGACGCCGAGCACTGGCTAGGCAACGACAAGCTTCATCACCTGACAAACCAAAAAGCGTACGAACTACGGCTAGACATTGAGAACTTATTTCATAGGAAGGTCACATACGCTCATTATCGTCACTTCGTCATCGGCAACGAGACCAGGAATTATACGCTGACAGTCAATGGCCATTTTGGTGTCGCAGGTAGAGTGTATAATAATTATCATCAAAATTATAATAATGATAATAATGATACTAATTATGTTAATGACAATAACGATAATTGTAATAACGATAATTATAATAACAATATTGATAATTATAATAAAAATAAACATGATGATGACGATTAAGGAATGAATAGAGATTACCGGGGACATGATGGTGGGGGGTAGCGTCGGTTGACCATCTGGGCCGCGGAGAACAAAGGATATGGGGGGATAGAGAGAGAATTTGGACAGGGGAACACTGCAGTTGTGAGCACCCCCAGATTTCAAATGTTTATGTTCCCCATTAATAGTACCCTGCATTCCAACACATTTTATCTCACAGGTGATGCTTTGTCTCGTATCTCTGGCCGTCCTTTTTCTACCCATCCCCAGCAGATTGACTGCAATGGGGGATGGTGGCACGATCCCTCGAAGAAATGTAATCCGTACTTTCATCTCAACGGCATACGACACAAGCATTTTCAACGGCCCGTCGGACGAAGCGCATTTGGATTGTTCTACGGCGTCTTCGTCAAGGCATCCGAGATGAAAATTCGTCCTGTGTAGGTTCGCAATCATATCTCTCGACCCACTCTTTGTTGTTCAACTGGAGGATGGACGGTCGGGAATGGATACGGCAAACGAAGTTGGTATTCAAATCATCATCAAAATACTAGCCCAGATTTCGTTCGTGTTTATACATTTTTTCTTCATCTTTTATCCTCTTTGTCCTCCTTCCGTGAACGCATCACACACAGCAAGATCCCTGATAATACACCCGTCGAGGGTAAGAATGAAAAGACTGTCTCTGCTTTAGCGTTGAGAGTGTGTTTTTTTCTTATCCGAATGAGCGCACGACTCGGAAACAGTCCAAGCAATTTTGCCCACCGAACTACCGGAAGGCGTAAGAATTTTCGTCGAACATTGTCGTTACAGAACGCATGCACTTATTCCTCATCTGTATTAACAGGAAACAAGTTTTGTCAGTCCAAAATGATGAGATTCTACCCAAAGAGTGTTCTGTAGATAACCGCCTCCATGATTCCAAGGATTTTAGGAAACATTGCATTTGAAAAAGAAAGGACATTAAATGTCCTTCATGTACGCGTTTCATTCGTATTTGACTCTAAGGATGTATATCACTCGAATGTAAGGCCTCGGTCTCATCCGACCCGCGAAGACGTAGCGAGGGGTTCACGTACGATGCTAGGGTTGTAGGTGGCCCTCTGCGGGTAGCCCGCGTGCACTACACAAGTAATTTCAAGCTACCTGACCCCCGCGTGGCCTAATTTACCTAAGTGGAAAAAATGTGGACATGCACAATTGTTGGTCTGCGATGATTTGTAGGGTATATAAGCATTTTCTACGAGGACCGGACTTAGGTGATGTGACCACTCCGAGGTAGAATTTTCCCACGTGGAAAAATGGCCACGTATGGAATTGTACTGCCATACGTTCGCGCTACGCATTCGTGGGTTCGGATGAGACCGTGGCTTAATTGTGTTTTATGGAATTTGTTTTGAAAGTGAGCTGCGCCCTTATAGTAAGATAATTGTTTGTCAAGTGTTTAATGTATAGTGAGAAAGGTTTTGTACTTAAAGTTCATCCGTTTATTTACTAATTCATTCATTCATTCATCCATTCATTCGATTGTCCATTCGTCCATTAATTCATTCATCCATTCGTTCATCCATTCATTCATCCATTCGATCATCCATTCAATTCGTTCACCCATTCATTCATTCATCCATTCATTCATTCATTCGTTCATCCATTCGTTCATCCATTCGTTCATCCATTCGTTCATACATTCGTTCATACATTCGTTCATCCATTCATTCGTTCACCCATTCATTCATTTGTTTTTCCATTCGTCTATTCATCCATTCCTTCATGCATTCGTTCATCCATTCGTTCATCTATTCGTTCATCCATTCGTTCATACATTCGTTCATACATTCGTTCATCCATTCATTCGTTCACCCATTCATTCATTCATCCATCCGTTCGTCCACTCATCCATTCGTTCGTTCATCCATTCATTTGTTCACCCATTCATTCATTCATTCATCCATCCGTCCGTCCATTCATTAACTCGTCCACTCATCCGTTCGTCCATTCATTCATCCATTCGTTGATCCATTCGTTGATCCATTCGTTCATCCATACATTCATCCATTCGTTCATCCATTCGTTCATCCATTCATTCGTTCACCCATTCATTCATTCATCCATCCGTCCGTCCATTCATTAACTCGTCCATTCGTTCAGTCATCTATTCATTGGTTCATATATTTGTTAATTCATTCATTCATCCATTCATTCACTCATTCATTAATGTACCATTTAGATCTTGTAAATTTAGAATGTGTAAATATCTGATGTGAAAGCTGAAGCCTAAATTCGAAGTTCAAGATGATTGAACTCCACGAGAATAGGCGTAGTCTAGGGCCCTGAATGGGCCGCGACTTTCATTAAACCTAACCCAGCCATCTTAGCTCGGCATTTGATTTACTAAAAACGAACCCATACCATACGCTACTCATAAGTATTCATATACACACGCACACCGAAATTGACGCGATAATTTATCATGTAATGAGATTTCATACAAAAATTACAAGTGCAAAACTATGTTAACTTTAAATATACAGGTATAGTCCAGAATCTGGCCGATTTTATTTTAATCTCCACCACAGCGTATTAACGCAAATATTTAAATGCAGCGCATGAAGGCTAGGTTTTTTTTAAAGTACCTTCCAAGCGACCCATACCCCTTATTCATCCACAGCTAACGGCCATCCATTAGGTGGTTTGAGTTTTTAATCCTACCCCTTATAGTCGGATTAAGAGGGGGTTTGATCCCCTAAATTGCAACAAATAGTTTTTCAAAAGTTTCCGGTAATGTTTGACATTTAAAAAACATATTTTAAAAAAAAAATAGAGAAAAATCGGTCTCCGGGAAAAATAGTTGTTTTTTTCAAAATGGCCTGCAATACCTTAAAATAGCCATAAATAATGATATATCTATCTTTGAGATGTGCTCCTGGTGCCTATGCCTAGGCTTTTTTTAGGCGGAAGGAGGGAGAGGGGGTCAAAAAATCCATTCAGACTACTTACAATGGGTCATGGCCACCAGGACACCCTTGAGTCCAATATGGCGTTAAAAATGGCTGACCATCTCCTAATTAATACCATAACGCTATAATTAGCAAGATTGAATATTTTTTAACGGTCAGGATATTGAATGGTAAGCTTAAAATTATCATAAATGTTTTGAGTAGCCTAATACCCATTACAATATACAAAGAAAATGGCCACCATTTTGTAATCTAAAATGGCCGCCGGAAACTGAAATTAGCCATAAATCGCTATACATCTATCTAAGAGCTGTAGTTTTGGTGTATTATATGTAAGGGGTTGACTCATCCATTCATACCACTTACGATGGGTAATGGTAACCAGAAAACCTGGTAATCCAAGATGGCATCCAAATAGGCCGCCATTCTCCTAAAATATTACCAGAAGTAAGCTACTTTCAGCAGTAAAGCTGTATTAGATGTATGTCAGGTCTTTGACGCCATTTTGAAAATAACCACTTTCCGGGGGTTCGAATTTCTTACATTTTTAATATGTTGTTCCTGATGTCAAACTCTACCCGAAACCACTAAAAACCTTTTGTCGCAATTGGGGGGGGGGGGGGTGTCTTTTTTTCCTTATTTTGACCCGACTATAGCTACCTCTCTCTACCACAGATGTTCGTACTGATAGTGTGCGTCATAATTACGAGTGTTTACGTGTGATAAGAGATAAAGTTGAGTTCTTGTCTTTACAATTGAATGTGGAATAGAAATCAAGAAAGGTGGATCAAGTAATACTTAACAATAATTGAGTATTTTCAGTGATTGAATCATGGCAATAATACGAAGCACATTGAAATGGGTATGAGGGACTACACACACACACACACACACACACACACACACACACAGACACACACACACGTATTCACAGACCCACGGACCAAAAGTCTCTCAGGTCTCATACCCCGTCCCCCCCCCCCCCCTTCCCCCACTCCGGGAACGGAGGGACCGCTTTCATGTTCCCTAAATCTGCGATAAAGGAGTACTTTTCACGCAACAAAGTCCGGCTCGTAATGCCTTAAAATTTGGCCCGTAGTGAATTTACACACCAGACTTAGGGGGGGGGGGGAGGAAACATGCATACGCATACCCTGAATAACACTGAGTTGGCGGGGGGGGGGGGGTCTCATACCTACCAACTCAAACGCAAACACACATCCATATGTATACAAGTAAATGCCCGTGTTGACGAAGAATGCCAATTTTATCCAAATCTGTATACATAACTTTAAATTTTGTTCAAACCCAGACGAGCAATTTATTTCCAGGTTGCAGTGGGTGCAAGCTGCCCGTAATTATTGCTTCAACGTGGTATTCTTAAAGGCATTGTTTAATAATGCCCAATCTGAGATGCATGGCCCTTCGTGTTATCAGTGTCTGTGATATGGTGTTATATTGAAGCCCTTGCAATATTGCTCTTCAAAATGCTCATGAAGTGCCTCACAAAAGTAAAAATCTTACAATACTCATCCCCCCAAGACTGAGGCGTTATAAAAACCGTTGGGAAAACGATTTAAAAAAAAAAATGAATTCCAATCATAAATATCTTGATAATTAGACGGCGGTCAGCTGGTACATGAAATGGAATTCCTGACTGACCTAAAGGTTAATATTAATATTTGCAGTATGAGCTAAATCCAGGATTTGGTTAAGAATCTGATACAAATATACCAGATCCCTTTAAATTCTACTTTTCATATTTGAATATACAGAATGATAGTGATGGAATGGTATTATGTGGAAGCAACGAAGCATCGGGAATGTTTGATATTAAGTTTGATCTCAATTTTTTATAATATATGCATGATTTATTGAAAAAAGAACAGATTAATAATTCGTGTGCTCATTATAAGCGTATGTTGGTAATTTGTAGACAGACAGTGGTGCGCTTAGAAACAACCGTAATAGATGTTGTGAATGTATTATTATTATAGGGAAGGGTTGAAATCCAATGAGACATAGTTTTTTGGAACTGTCTGTGATGACTCAAGGGATGAGAACGATGCTAACGTTGTCTGCAGAATGCTAGGTTTCTAAGGAGATGAGAAGGCTATCTTTGACTGTGAACATCCTGATGTTGGTGCTCATAATTGTAGTCATGATGAAGATGTCGGAGTAGTTTGCATTGCCCCCGCACATAAATAGTCAGTATTGGCTTTATATACCAAGGGTTAAAAGGTTACATGTCGTTTTCCCAAACGCATGGTTCGTTACTTTAAAGGTTCGTAATGCCAAAGTTCCGATTCTCTAAAGGTCCATGATATGGTAGGTTCGTAAATCAGAAAGTGAAATAGGGTTAAAATGATTCCGAGAGTTCCTGATCCAGAAAGTTTGTGATTCCGAAAATGAAATAAAAGCCTGTATTGTTTTTGGAATTATTAACCTCCGGAATAACGAACTATATTTCATTTCAGGATTACGAAT